TTCTTGTAAATAAATTCATTGGTGAAAACTGCAATTTGTACATTGTACATTTATTTTATAGATTTTTTTAGGTTCATTTTAGGAAAATAAAATTTCCCCTCCCTCCATAAGTTAAGGCAGTGTTATGTAAAATCGACTTTTTTGAGCTTCACATCACGTTATCATGTTAACACTTCATACCTTGAATTTTGCCTGATTCTTACATGCATATTTGAGAAACCCTTTAATCTCCATGGCAACAATTCTGCTGTGCACAACTCCTGGGTGGACCTAGCCCCGCCTCCGAGGTGCAGCTCCTCCTTTGAGCTGCATTTTCCAAACTTCTGAGCTTCTGCAACACAGAGCAGCTCTCCCCAACTCAGCTCCTTCAGACTAGCTAGGAGCAATTAGCAAGCACCTCATTGAACTACAAATCTGTCATTAAATGAGCTACTTCTAAATAGTAAGCTGGCAAAAATGTTGTGTTTTTTAAAGACAGAGACTCAATTTCAAGGCATTAAATTATGAAGTCAAATTTTATTTAAGTCATATTTCATATACATATATATGTATAGCATGATTTTACAACTGAAATTAACATAGTTACTTGATTGCGCTATAAAATGGAAACATATCATATTGCCCTTTTAAAAAATTTTTCTTAAAACATTGGCTCCTGCACCACTTTCAACTGTAAAATCCACACTGAGAGTGCCGTATACCTGCAAAAGAAAAAAAAAAATAGTTTAGCCCAGTGTAGCTCGTCTCTTCAGGGCTTTCTCCATAAGAGGTGAAGGTTCAACAACGTGTTGACCTCGTTCACGGCTGAAAACATCAGCGTCATCTGAAGTCTCACTGAAGCCTCCAACTGTCACCCAGAGAGCAGCTCTGACAGACAAACCAGCAGGCTTCTAGGAGATTTGTAGAAATAATAAAAAGGTGGAATCTATTTACTCCTGTTATTCTGACATATGGAATAAAATGTGCTTTCAGCCTTCTTGGCTCTTCCGCTTCACGCCACAGTAATCACATCAAATGGGTCTTGATTATTATGGCGGAGAAAGCTGGCTGACTCAGTCAGGACCGAGTGCAGAATGAATACAGATGGGAGCTGGAGGAGCCGCTTCACTCCCAGTGTTACTTTCAACGACAGCAATTACACACCGAACATATCAAAATAATAAAGCCGCCTTTTAACTGAGGTTTGCATGCTTGACATGAATCAAATGTGCTTTGACAATGAAATTTAAAGCCGCAACGACTCGACTTGCAGCTGGATTTAGAGCAGCAGGAACTGAAGGAGGGGAGAGAAAAAGAGCTGAATTAATGAGTGGAGGAAGGCCAATGCTTTTGGACAGGTGCAGCGCTTGCAACAATTAAAATAAAAAAGGAAGATAACACCCAATTATTGCTCTGTTATGTCTAAAAGAGCAGTACAAGCTCAGTTAATTGCTTTAACTGGAGGCTCAGTGTGATGTTGTTTGGGTGGTGGAGGACTTCAGTCACAGATCCTACTCTTCAAAATGAGACAATGTTACAATCCTGAAAGCATGGCGAGCCCCTAAAGCGGCTCAGCCAAGTGTTTTGAGATGTTTTTCCCATTTAGTTCACCACTTCATTGATCAATCAAACAATTCAGCCACAGATATGGTCCATAAGAAACAAACAGAACAACAACAAAAACAATACAAGTAAAATAATCACCCACTGCCCTACATATACTGAGAAGGGCTGCAACTTAGATTATTTTACTGATCAATTAGTCTATTTGTTATTCTGACTATTAATCAATTAATCAGATTGTAAAAATGGTGTTTTATACAGATTTCTCATTTAACCGCATAAGCCTTTTTTTACGCAATAAATCAATGTAAAAAATGCAAATAAAGAGAAATAATTATTTTTAAAAAAGAAAAAAAAGAGGCTCCCTGATAAATGTTCTCCTTGTCTGGTTTAAGTGGGCATTTCTTAATAGTTTTCTTTTTCAAGCTTGTTTAAAGCTGAAGGTTTTTCTATTTCAATCAAACTTTATTTGAAGCATTTTCCAAACTTTGTTAAAATGGTGTTAAAAAGACTATTTTTATCAGACTTTTAAATTTAATATGACGGAAGCTTTTGTGTACATTTTAATACATATAATGAAAGTGGTGGTTTTTAATTCATGATTTTTAATTTCTGTGACTTCCTAATGGTGTTGAAGGAGCTCATGCAGTACATATTTGGTTGCCCAGCCTTCTCTTCTGAACAGATGACAATGAAGTTGTTTCTATATCTAGCAAACAAACTTCTGTTCCTGATAGACCAGCTGGATTCATCATCCTGAGTCTTCCTCGCTGGATGGCTTCAGAAGCGATTCACAGAATATAAAACTGTTGAGTCCTCCCTTTCACCAGGTCTATAGCTTAACATTTCTGAAACATTGTCTTTGTCATTATGAGAATTCAGTGGGAAGTCAGATTTTATGCTGGTTTCTGATCGAATGTGTCGTCCACTTACAAAAACTGAGGCATCGCCATGAAAAAATTGGAAACATAACGTATGCAACAGGCGGAAATCTTTAAAAAGAAAAAGAAGACACTCTTGCAATGCAAAGGTTTTTTTTTTCAATCGATTTCTGTATTTGTGTCAGCTTGTTGCATGTTTGGCTGTCAGAGCGGAGCTGATCTGCTGTGTTTTCACAAGCCAGACCTTCCTCGGGAAAGCTCCTCTTGTTCTGACAGTTTCTCTCCCTCAGGTGAAACAATGAATTGTGGGAAACATCAATTATTTGCATTGCTCTGGGTTATTTGTAAAGACTGGAAGACCCTGCCAAGGTCCTGTTGGTCACTTGTCAATTTTGCATCAAAATTATTCAAACAGCTGCAACATCTTGTTAAATAGCTGAATAAGTCAAATTAAAAAAAAAGATGTTTATAGAAACTATTTTACACAAGCAGAAGTACATATTTTAAAATGTTAAATATTGTCTGTTTCAATATCATGTGTCATGGCTGCACACAAACCAGGGGAACAGCACTGACACAAACACAAACTCAAAATAATTAAAATTTATGGATTAATGCACCTTTTAATTAGATTTTATGAAACAAAAAATACTTATTCACTTTGACGTACACGGCAAAAGAAGTTGTGGTTTGTAATCAAACAACAATTTAGTGAAAATCCGCGTAGCAGACTGCAACAGACCAGATCTGAATTTTATATTAAAAACACAGCCACAGAGAAGATGAATCGCATTCATCATTCCTTTATTCAACGCAGGGATCAATGAAAACCCATGAAAAACAAACGAAGGTGTTTGACCAGCAGCCGCAGCTGGACCCATTCTAAATGCAGAACAGATATTATCACCTGAATCCACGTGTGCAGCCTCATTTGTTATAATCGCCCCTTCTTGTTTTGTCATCCCTGTAGCTGCTGATGAGCTTCCCAAACGGAAAGAGGGGGATGAATATGCATACTCATCCACAATGGCACACCTGCTGGCTGTAGCTCAGATCATTACCAGTTTAGCAACAAGTGGGAAACACTGCAGCTCCTTTGAATCATTTTCTGCTGCCTGGTCTGTGCGTGCAACTAACTTGTGTCGCTTCGATTTCCCTACTGTCCTGAATGTGCCCGGCAGATGGAGCAGGTTTCTCTAGGACTTCCTGAGCTTTAAATGTATTAAACTTCATTCATTAAAGGTATTATACTTCTCAGTGCCAATTGTTGGTGGCTTGTCTGAATTATCTGGGTCAGGGAGTCATGGGCTGCGGCTGCTCTGTGAGGCAGAAGCTCGGAAACTGTAGCTCTGAGGAGGAGTTTGTCCTCAAAGGCAGGACTCAGTCCACCCAGCTGAATTGTTGCCATGAGATTAAAGGATATCTGAATCATGCATGAGCTCAATAACCTACTTAGATTATGCTGTTTTTGTTGTTACACCTTGCTCAGCCACAAATCAAGGCAAAACTCCCCATATGTGTTTTGACAAAGAAATAATATTGTAACACAATGTAAAGCTGTAAAGAGTTGATTTTACATGACACTGCCCCTTTAAAAGACAGGAGTCACTTTATTGAAATGGATGTTGAAAGCGATATGTGTGGGCAGTGTGGACCAAAAAGTGTTTATCATACCTCAAGCAGCTTGAATTTGTTGGAAGTGGAGTCTGTGAATGTTACGGCTACGAAAAAATAACTACCGAGGATTATTGTTACTAATGGTGGTTTTACAAGGATGGGGGAAGCAGACAGTGTCCACAGTCCCACCGTGACTGCTCCATAAAAAATGTTGTTCTGTCTGTTTGTTGTGAAACTTCATACCCATTTAGGACTTTTTATAGAACCGAATGGAAACAATATAAAAATTTTATTAGAGCCACAAATCACAGTGGTGCTATGAAGGCCTTGATGTTCGTTTCCTTAGATTATTACTGCTTCTTTACAGCTTCCACTACCAATGCACTGATCCAAAGGCCCAGGAGGTCCGGCTGATGTGCCAAACAGAAAATTAAATTTGCTTTACTTTTCAACCTCAGCGTTATAAACTTCTGCCAATAAAACTGCTTCATCCGACCTTGAAAGGGGATTTAAAAGCACTGATCACAACTTAACAGAATCTGGGTGAATCCGGGTTTTTAAGTAACTTCTTAACATTCTGATCATCTCCGTCCAACATGGTCTGATCAATAACCTTACATCCAGGCAAGCACTATGCAAAACAGCAACTTGCACAGTATGCAGTTACTTTTGCACAATGCTCATTCTTGGAGGTGATGCGCGCCCACCCCAACACCTGTCGTTTCTACACTAGAAATGCTTATGTCAAATTTATTGCCACCGAAACTTTTAGAAACACTAAATGTGCTGCTATGGTTAAGAAATATTTTATTATGCACACAAAATTCTTCTGCATTCTCCGTAAGAATGAAGGCGTGATCATTTGATGCAGAAATTGAGACCATCGCGTCTTATTTGCGGTTTTGCGTACGAGAGTTCGATTTTTCCCAGCCGCACTTGAACCCATCACAAACTCCTGATCCGGGTTGACATCAGAGGTGAACTTTTCCTCTCGAATCTCGACTGGAGCGACTCTGGACGTGGGATGTTTTGGGGGGTCGTTTAGCGGGATAAGGATGTGATGGGAGCGGCGGTTCTAACGGAGGAACACGTCCTTGTTACATGATAAGAGAGAAAAATGGAGAATGCAAGTGACTTCAACGCGACTGCTCCTTTAATTTCCGCCGGAGCTCTGCGAGCGCAGATTGTTGAGAACCCGCTGCAGGTGAGTCGGTTTAACTTTTCACGCAGGAAAAAGGAAACGACTGAGCAGTGTCGAGAATTAATGGCGCGTGGTGACGAATTATCAGGAATTGATGCGTCCATCTTATTATTGCGTGTTCATGCGACTTAAGTTTACACTTAACTTTGTTGAATTAATATGTCGGGGCCTCTTTAAAAGCCGACTTTGTCTCACGGACACAGGTTAACTCTTACCAATTAAATAGACCATTTTAAAGTTTTAAGATATTAGCCAACCACCTCAACACATTCATCGTGTTAGACAACACGGCATTTTTCCCGGTTCAGACTTTTTTGGACCGTATTAAATATTAGTCATTAAATTTTCCTAAATCGGGCGGAGTTGGTGGCGCGCGCACACACACACCGTAACGTGAGGCTGTCCTCTACCTCGACTCGGTTGTCCCGGGTTCGATTCCCGGTCTCGGACCATTTGCTGCAAGTCTTTCGCTTCTCTTTCCTGCCATTTGACAAACGTCATAAACACATTCCCTTTGTCTAAATCAAGCATTTTAGTTTTTCAATGGCAGCTGCCATTAAGTCAGTGAATCTAATTCTGCTACCCTCAGCAGAATTAGTTATTACTTAGTTACTTAGTTATTACATTTGATAAATCATCTTGACTTAATATTAGGATGTTCTCAATTTCTCGTGCATCATGATCAGCAGAGTATATCAGGTGTTTCACCAAAATGTTGGATACAGCTGTTCCTTATGTAATAGGATTAAAAGACGTCTAAGTTGATTGCAGCATGTGTGTAGGTTAAAACCTTTGGTTCTGAAGCTTCTTGTGTAATGAAGAGTGGTGTAAACCAGGAAGCTGACAGGGCAGAGATCTACTGCTGTTGGCAACCTTTTCAACTAAAGTGATCATGACTAAACACTGTGCTGAAAGCCTCTTTTTAATCTCCTGAAATGTGACTAGCAGACTCCCTCGATCCGTCTTTTTAATAAAATCTGATTTTCAGATATTCAGCCTTTTCTCTCCATCTGTGGCTGATATTGTGTGTTTGCTAATGTCCCACTGTGTGTGTTTTGGCCCACCTAAATATCCTCTTGCCCTTTTCGCAGAGGCACATTCTCCTGATGCTCATTTTCCTCTGCAAAGTGTTTCTTTCTTTTATTGGCATGTTTCCTCTGGGTGACATTACCAGCGGGGGCCAGGGAGAGAAAGAGAAAGAGTGGCAGAGGAGGAAAGAGAGAGGCGTGAGTAATGAGTAATGGCTCTTGGGTGGGATGTTAGAGAATAGATCTACTGTACGATGTCCTGAGCAGCTGCCTAATGGTCCCAGCTACCCACCATCCCATGGAACATCCCTAACTACCAGGGGACAATATCGGTCTGTCTCACTCCGTTTCATAACTCTTTATGCTTTGCATTAATGTCGGCTTCAATGCTACAAGCAACTTTAAGAGTTTACTTTCACATTCCATACACTGATACTCAAGTCAAAAAGCGAAAGTTTCCATCTTGCTAAATATATTCAGATGTAACAACCACTTAGTGCACCATTTGCAAATTTTTGTGCCCCCAAAGCACAGAATACATGTTGATTATCTAATTGCCCTACATATTTGGAGCTGTAATTCATTTAAGTTTCTAAGAATAGCCATTGTTTATGCTTCTGGCTGATGTCTCTACTGGCTATTAGTTCAGTGTCTTGATTTTGATCAAAAGCCCTGCTTAGTAAACACGTAGTTGGGAGTTAAATGTTTTCAGAGTCTGAGGGAAAAAAAGTACTTTCCAAGTCCACCAGGAATGTTGGTGCACGACTTCTAACAATTATCAAAACCAGCAATGACTATCAAGAGTTTGCGTGTCATTACTTCCCCTTTGCTCTTTCATTTGACTCTTTCATCCTACGTTTTTCTTCATGTCCACAGCACTTAGCAGCAATGAAGAAGATCAGCCTGTCCCACAGAGGGACAGTTGCCTATTGTCTTTGGACACAAAAGACCATGCTGTCTCCAAGTCTGTCTGTTGGTCTGTCTGTCTCAGTGTTGGTCAGTGTCGTAGCATGGAGTGGGATCAGTTCCTCTCATCTGCCTCAAAGCCTGTACAGTTTTACATTCAGTCACCCACTTAGTAATAAGGCTGGACATTTATTGTATTGTTTATCATTTATTGTGAAACATTTATCATCATGATAAGAATTTAGATTCATTTTTGCCATGATAAATTTCACTTATGAATGCTCTTTTTGCTCTTTTTCTTCCACTACTAAAGCATCAATAAATATCAGCAAATTTGACAATTTAAGTCTGATTACACACACAAGCAGAAATGCACATAATTCTATTGTATTAAACATTTAGCTACAGTTATTTTCTGTCTTGATCATTTCTGTATTTGAGTGATTCTTGAGAAGTGGGAAAAAATGGGTTTAAATTTTCCCAAAGTTTTTTAAAAATTATTCCTCAAGCTTATGTATACAAATGTGACAAATAATGTTTCAGAAATGTAAAGATGCTAAGGTGCAGATTCCCAGTTGCAACATTTTTGGGAAAATTTGATTATTAATGGACCGGACCTAGAACGTTGTCATCACTGTCTGACAAAAATATCAAATTATTTTTAATGACCCTGTTAGTGATATTTTTACTCAGTTTTACAGACAAATGCTTCTCAAGAAACAAAAAAATATTTTTAAAACAAAAAATAACATAAAGTCCATCTGATGGAGTTGACGCAGAACTGAAGGTGGTGACAAACTAGTGAGTAAAAAGAAATACTTGACACATGTGAAGTAATGCCATTTATGTTAAATACATTCAAATGAATTAACTGCACATTTAAGCGAGATTTGTCAACACTATCACTTAAAGAGTCACACTGTCGGTTAAAAAGTGACGAAGTTGACGAAATGCCAAACTACCTGAATTTATGTGGTATTATTTTGAAGGAGGCCATGTGGTAATTCATCAGGTCCATGAAATCTTTACAGTATACCAAAATTAAGCATTTATTTCACAAGACTTGGAAGATGGAAAATATATAAAAAATATTTTTAATTCAATTTATTGATGCTTTTATAATTATTTATTTGAATACTTATACTTAATTGTCATAGTAAGTATGACAGTTACTTATGACAATAAGTAATCGTCATACGTTCAGCTTAGTAAAAAGTATTTATTTACAAATAAGTACTTTATTTGTAAAGTATTTGAAATACTTTATAAATAAAGTATTTCTTTATTTGTTTTGAACTATTATAATGTATTGAGTTCTGTGCCAGAAAAAGGGATTTTTCAAACACTATCCACCTAATACGATGTTTAAAATGAAAAATATTCAGCAAACACCAGCATTGTTGTGCTCACATGGCCCAGATTAGTTTAGTCAGATATTTGAAAAAAATTATATTTTGTGTATATTTTATTCAAATGTTGTGCTTTATCCATAGGACCTGTTTTGTTTCTCTTCTCAAGAATCACTGGTTTATAATCTTATTTCTTGCCATAAGAAATAAGATGTTTGTTCATTTATTCTCAATGTTTGTGTTTTTGATTTTGTCAAATTAGGGTTTCTGTTTACTGTTTATAATAACCTGGAGCTTCTTTTCCCCAACCCATTTCAGTCTGTAATTTGATCCGATTCTAACCTCAGCCAACGTGACATACATCCTCGTTAATCCTTCTTTAAATGTGCCTTTGTAAATTGTGCCTTGAATTTATTGTAGTTATCAGCTTCCTTCCAGTATACTTTTGGCTTCTGAAATATAGTTGAGCTCATTTAAATTTTTTGTTTTCTGGCACAGATCTTACATACATTTAGCACATTTCAAAAGGGTTTATATCTGGCGTAGAAGCTTTATGTTAGCTAGAGGGTAAGTTTAAAAATGTAATTTTAATTAATTTATTTATATTTTTATTTTTTATTCCACCATCTGTAGTGCACCAATGCCACTGGTGGCAATAGAACCCCAAAGCATACTGCTAATGTCACTGTGCTTCGTTTAACTTTATAGACTTTTTCAAACCATAGGTTCAATCAAGAACCTCTGTGTTTTGATCATTTTCTCATTCCTACATACAAGTTGATACACCATCATAACTAGGCTTAGATTGGAGACTCGAGGGGCCTTTAACTAGACAGTTTCAGTATGAGATCAGGCTGTAAATGTGTGCCGGGCAACTCTCCTTATCCTGTACCACGGTAGCTGTCCAAATGCATTTAGCACTTAGATCAAAGCGAAAGTGTTACCACAGTAACATATTTTTTTCACTAGATGGATGCTAGAGGATTCTAAAGTTGAACTGGCTCTGCTTTGTATCTTATCTTATCAGACTTCTTCCACAGTCCTGTCTTATCCTTACATCTCTAAGCTGGTATAGAGTGACACGATCAATCAGCATTAACTCCCGATTTCATTTGAAGGTCCATTATTATTTCACCCAGAACGCATTTGATGTCTCCATGTAGTCATCTGCCACAATGTCAGTCCAGAATGATGTAAAAACATTTTCATTGTGAACAATTTCAGCAGTTTTCAGTTCATGGCAAACTTCAGTCTTTCCGAACATCCCAAACAATTTCCATCTATCTCAGCGGGGAAGATTTGGGTGTTCTTCCAGACCTTGGCAACAAAGTTACAAATGTGACTAATTTGTTGCTGATGTATTAATATTTGAAAATTTGAGTTTTAATGATTCATGGACATGGCTAAATGTCAAGAATTTATATAATATTCAACCCCAGGATGACTGAATGGCAGTTTCTCATCATAAGTGTTGTTCTTATTTAATCTATAAATTTTTATGAACACGGTTCAGGTAAATGAATCCAACTTTATTTTGACGTGTGTGATCTAATTTAGACGACCCAGACTGCAGTTGAGTCTGGAAATCACAGAACTAATTTTTACCTGTGGGACAGTAAATAAAACCAGCATAAGAACTAATTTTCAGTTTCTTTTCTTTGTCTTTAATCCTGATTTTCAGGCCTGTTGGAGTTGGAGCACAGCTCACGTTTGTGTAAGTATGATTTCAAAGTGCCAGGTAAAAAGACCATCAGGATATTTATGTGATGCCGTTTTAACTTTTAACTAAGCACTTGTTGCCATGTCCTGCTTTGAATAGTTTACTCTGGTATTTGTAGCATAGTGAGTGGTCCGCAGTGCAAAAACCACCATCACTGCCACATTCAGTTAGGGCTATTAGAAATTAGGGGTGCACTGATGAATTGACCCTATTTTTTTTTTCATTTTGGGTGATCAGTGATTGTCCGATGTTTGCATGGACAATCGATCTTATTCACCTCCACTAAGGTCTAAAAATTAGCCGCTGTTCCCTTTTGCTCTGCTGTGAAAGAGGACTGACTGATTGCACCGCCCACCATTATGTCTGCACATGCATGTCTAACAATGATCACTCCACTGTTACCAACTCAGTGACTTTTCTGCCATATTTGGTGACTTTTAGACAAAAAAATTATTAACCAAAATTAGAATTGACAGATCACGCTTTTTACACATTGGTGAAAACTACAATCAATGTACCTGATTAGCAATGCAACAATTGAAATAGATACACAAGTTTAAAGTTATTGTGGATCTAATCTATTTATTGTGGATCCAATCTAAACAGGGTCAAAATTAGGCATTCAGTCAAACCGAGCTTTAAGTATAGTTGAAAAATTGTCCAGCAGATTTGAGATGAAAACTTAATGTTAGCCTTTTTTTATGTATCCAAAAACAGTTTGGGATGATTATCCTGTAGGATTAGCCAATCATAACCAAGTCTAAGAATGACAACATAATCCTTTATCATTGTGTTCAGTCCATTAGTGGGGGTGTATGCATATGTTTGAGCCTCCATGTTGGAGAAAGCTCAAATATAATGGAAACCAAAACCAAAATATTTCAAGAACAGAGTGTTTTTAACAGATTAGCTCATCCACTATTGTGACTTCATCTGTCCTGTTCTGTAGGTGTTTAATCTACTCCATTTTCACAATTCTGAGAATAAAAAATTGTTTTTAAATCTTCCCCACTTGGTCCTGTTTGGAAGAAAACACCCCTCCAACATAAGGAGCTTTGCAGTGTCCAGTCTCCTGCTCTCTGTGTGTAAAGTTTATAATGTTTGCTAAGTAATAGACCCTCCCAGTGTACCGGCCTCGGCTGCTTTGTTTGCTCTTCCTGTGACAGAAAAAGCTTGCTCTCTTTCTCTTTCTCCCTTGGTCTTTCTGCGCTGCTTGCTTTCTCTTTCCCACTTTCTCATGTGAATTTGTCTCCCTCAGTGAGCAGAGCATTAATCTTCTGCTGTTTGAGTGAGGTGCTTGATTCCTGCTGAGGCCCCCCTCTCTCTTTTCCCGACTGTGCTCCAAAAGCACACCTCCCATCTTCATCAACAGGCAACAAATAAACAAAGGAGAGCATAATTCATTGTAATTAGTTGAATTCTGCTCGCTGGCACGCTTGGTATGATGGGAATAAATCCAGTAGAAGGAGAGATGAATCCCTGCTCACACTTTAAATTGCTTTCTCCGGTGTGAGGTGTGTGAAATGAACTATCCTCAGGCAGTTCATCCACTACCCTAACACCTCGTTCTTCTCACACAAGGTCTCGTTTTGCCCTCCGGCTCCTCTTGGTATTAACCAGCAGCCTCTTCAGACCCCTCATGCAGTCTCTTGGAAAGCCTGACTAGGTTATTGATGTTGATTTAGCGAACAGAGTGCATTTGATGGAGGATGCCGTACATCTCCCTGTAAATCAGCAGCTTAGACTGAAATTCTACCCTGATCTGTGGCTGCAGCTCATTTTAGTAATCAATTATACTATCTATTATTTTGTCGATTAGTCTGGTGATTAATCTTATATAGATTGGCACAATCAGCATTTTTTTTATTTGAAACTACTTAAGCCTTTTTGTACAATATTAGAAATACATTTAAGATACAAATAAAGAAATTGTTTTTAATTAGGAAACTAAACATTTTCTTGCCTAAAATCCAATAACAGCCTTCATTTAGTGAACACTTGATTACTATGGATGCATCCTTCTTATTTAACATCTGCTTGATTATATATAGTGTTCTGATCTGTTATTTTTATTTATTTATTTTTTTTTGGATGAACTGATTAATAATTGGATAGCAGAAGCTTCTTAAGACCAGAATTTTTTAAAATAGAATTTGAGCCAGGTGATACTAAAACTATACCGCTCAGAGTTCTGGGTGGAACATATTGATATACAAAGGATCTTTTTCATCTTGACTGTATAACGTTTACCTTTTCAGCAAAAGGCATGTTTTAGCGTCATAGTCCAGTTGACGATTGATCAATGACGAGATTAGTTGATGATTATGGGAATATTATAATTATAATCACAACAAACTGGTTGTGTTTAGAATAATTAATCATGATTAATTTATTATGTTTAATAATAAATAAATCACAATCAACCAATCATGTCAATATTTGATTAATCATGATTAATCATTTGAGCCCTGCTATGGTCTATCCATTTTTCTGGCTTAGCGTTGGAATGAAGCGGTGGACCCTTCCTTCCCTCCACACTCAGACACTATTTACCTTGACTTGGTGTTGGTCCCTCAGGAATCTTGTCAGCACTCTGCCCATCTGCTCCCCACCTCCTCCTCCAAGAAATCCTGTTTCCCTCTCGCACACTGCAATCATTGGGGTTTATATAGAACAACAAACAGACTGAAGTCTAAATCCTGCTGTGCTCTGGTGATGTATCATCCCAGCTCAGGTATGTTCCAGGTCAGTGGGCTCATCATCAGACGTGGTGCCAAAGTGAAAGCAGTGAGCAGGGGGTTGAAATCATGGAAGCAGAGCAGAAAGATAAGACTGAATGTGGATTTCAGATCACCCATAAATCCATAGGGCTTAAATAATTTTTCAGGCTTTCAAAGGAGATAACAAATGTGAAATTACAAAAACTCAAGACAATGTGTGGTAGCAGCTTTGACCAAGCAGCAGTGATTAGTTTGTGATGTTCAGTAGGAGTTCAGGTTTTGTGTCTTCCAGAAAAAAACATTTTGCCTTTAGCAGAGTCACACTGACAACATTGCGGTTGTCTTATCAACCCAATGGACCACTGAACCTGAACATGACATTCTCCTCTCCTTCATTTCTAATCTTCTTAATCTGTTTTCTTCTCTGCATCTCTCTTGTTCAGCTTCATGTCCTTTTGTTTTATTCCTCATATTTGCTCTGATTGGGTTCCTGTTTCTAGTTTCCATCATTCAAATTCCACCCCCAAGCTGTTTGGATTCCTATGATTCCTTTATAAAGTTTATCCTCCCACACCCAGCGGTACATTTATGACCTGAAACTGTTTTTCCACCTGGCAGCTATTTTTCCAGGGATGTGAGAAATGTAGCACAACATGTTCTTTTTCGTTTATGAATGAATGCTTGGCTGGCTCAGTAAACCACAGATAGATGGAGGTTTTCAGAAAAGTCATTTTTGCTGCTTCTCTTAAACGTTTCTATGTTCATTAAATAGTTGTCATTTCCTAAGCTTTTTTCCATTAATACGTTTTAAGGAAACAGCCTCAAGGAATTGTGTTTCATTTGGTCTGTTGAATAGAAAACAGATTATCCTGCATAAATAATAGAAATGTAATAGCTGCAGGTGTTAAAATATAACTGCAACAGCAAATTGCTTTTGTACTAAAAGTGGTCCATTGTGAAAAATGTTAAAGAGCACTATACCATAAAAATCACTACATATTTCTGATTACTTATGCCTATTATATTCCACAACAAATAATTGTAATTTAATTTGTGTTTGTTGAACAACAAAGTAAAGGACGTGCAAAAAATTTAGGCAGAAATCAGGACTTTAATAAAAAAAAACATAGCTTTTAGGTCATATTTCTACAATGAACATTAGGGGCATTGTAGATGGATAAAAAGAAAGTAACTTTCTAGAAAAAGCAAGGACATTTCTGAGTTTGAAAAGTCAAAAATTTTCCTGGAAAAACTCAAAACCTTTGAGATTAATTTCAGAAAATTTCTCGAAAAAAACATGGAAATATCTAAGTTTCAAAAGTCAAAACAATTCCCAAGATTTTCTAGAAAATTTCTGAGATTAAGTTCAAATGTCTAAGTTGGGGGTTTTTTTTTGTTGTTTTTTTTATTTTTATTTACTGCCACAATGTAAATTGTGTCTACAATGGCTCTCATATGCCATTTTACATTTCTGATAAGCTGTAACCTTTCGCCTTTTTGCTAAGTTCAGTTAAATATGTTTTGGTTCTACAATAATTTTTACTTCTTTCGGGCTTTTAAAAAGTCCTGAATCAGTGTTATGACCAGAAGTGTTGGAGTATTAAAGAGTTCACCGACCTCCATGTAAGGTGTCGGACATCATGGGAAAACTACAAAGGTGAGGTGTGTTTGTGTTTTTGTGTGTGGTTGGTGCTTCCTTGTGACCACTGACTTGTGTGTGTTTGTGTGTGTACAGTATGAGAATAAAGATTTTAATGTTATTAAAGATCAGGAGCCTGGGCTCCACAGAAGGTTGCACATTAATACCTCTGAACAGAATACCAATGGAAAGACTGGTTGACATGGAAACAACAGATGTGACAGCTGCAGAGAGTATTATGGGTTGTTTGGCAAGTGGAGCGTTGCCTAATCTTCTGCCTGTTCGCTCTTTGTTTGCACAGAACTATCTCCTGGGAATCATCATCTCCATATGTGGGAATGTCCTCATCAGCGTTTCACTCAACATACAGGTACGGAGCGCCAGCCGATAGCAGTAACGCAGCGCCTCTGAAGGGTTATCTCGCCCAACCGGCTTTCCTCTGATAGTTTTCTCTGTTTTCGCGAGGACTTTTGTGAACCTTCCCTGAGGCACTGACTGTGCATCTCCTCTCAGGCTCTGAGCAGCAGAAAAGCTGCAAGCTTGTTTTTATTTTAAATCAACACTTATGTTGATTTATCTGTGCAACCAACTGATTTTTACCAGTTAAGAAGTGATGCACAGTTGGAACGTGTTGATGACATAACGATGGTAGGGCTGCACCCAACAATTATTTTAGCAATCAGTTAATATATTGATTATTCTGATGATTGATCGGATAAAAGTAAATGACACGTTCTATAAGATTTTTCATTTAACCACTTGAGCCTTTTTATACAATATTAGAAATACATAAAAAGATGTAATCATGCAAAAATATAAATAAATAAGAAAATAAACATTTTATTGCCTATAGTACAATAACATGTGCTTAGTGAACGCTTAACATTTGTGGCAAAGATTGAATAACTATTTCTGAAGTCGGTATGTAAAATCTCGGGGCTTTTGCTTTACTGAAGATCAAATACATCTCTGGACTGATCTGTCAATTTATTTTTGGAATAACCGATTAATAATTGCCAAGTGAGGAGATCTAGGTGGAACATATATATATATATATATATATATATATATATATATATATATATATATATATATATATATATATATATATATATATATATATATATACAAGATGTTGTCCTTTCAGCAGATGTCCTTTTTTGAATCTATGTACTCTAGGTAATGATTAATTGATTACTAAATTAGCCGTAAATGGTGTTCATCAAGCACACACACCCTTAACCTGTCGTACTGACTGGAGTCCAGAAACATTTCGTGCCCTGGTGTTTTTCTCTAAAAGTTACAGGTCGATGTAACTTTTATGCTGAGCTGCTCTCTGAGCAGCAATGACAGCAGGCTGATGTGGAGACGTTTGTGTGGTTTTTAGAAACAGGACAGAGGTGTTAAGATTACAAATGTTTTTGAAGAGGTTGCTCGTTTGTCATCATTAGGCAGCGGAAGCTTCCAAAACCTGATTTATTAATGATTGTTCAGCGTAGCGTGTGTTCGTGTCATTAGAAATGTAAAGTCCCACTTCACTGACTTACCTAATTGGTGTCATGCTTCTTCCTGGATCCAATTCTAATCAACTGAGGGTGTTATGGTGTATTAACAGTCACATTACATCTGATCGGATCCTGTATTGTTTATTTAATTACGTTTCCCTTTTTTTAAGCCTGAGTGAGACTGAGAAACTGTTGTGTAGTTTTGCATGCTGTGTAGCTCTCTGGTTTAAATTTCTTTCCACAATGGTTCCCCTCCGCTCCCCCATCCCACCCTTTTTTTCTTGTGGCAGAAATACGCCCATGTCCGTCAGGCTCAGCGTGGCTCCAAACCGTATTACACGTCGAGGTTATGGTGGTCTGGTGTCGTCCTGATGGGTGTCGGGGAGCTGGGGAACTTTGCAGCCTATGGTTTTGCCCCAGCATCGCTGATTGCCCCACTGGGCTGCGTGTCTGTGATAGGTGAGTCTGCTTTTAATCTCTTTTAGCTTTTCTGAAGGGCAATGAGAAAAACGTAGCTACAATCACATCACCACACTCAGAAATTTGCAAATGTTCAAACACTGATACGCAAATCAGTAGGAAACTTATACAGGTGCATCTCTTTAAATTTGAATATTGTAAAAAAAAAAGTGGTTTCCTTTAAAATCCATAAGTTCCATGTTATGCCCAACACAGCTGTCTGTAAAACTCATTTTCAAAAACTGTGAATGTGAGAATATATGAAAAATTTTCAGTGGGTATGAATATTATTTGCAAACTACTGTAAAAATGTTCCCAGGGTTTCTGAATGTTGAAATTTCACCTGCGCTTTATTGACTGATTTGTTCTAAACTCGAAAAAGATTCTTCTGGAAAATGGCCCTTGAGCACATTAAACGCTCACTGCTTCTTTAACATTTGATATAATTAGTCAGACCAATGCAGCAAAAACTTGAAATCACAGCAGGTTGCTTTGCAGCAGGTTGCTCTGCAGCTGGACTGTAAGTGGTTCTCCCATCTCTGGTGACTTTTAAGATTAATTTGGACATTTACATTTTAGCGGTGACCCAGGAAGTCCAATTACCACCAACTGTATAAATCTTAACATTCAGCCCCAAAATGATCTCTTTTTTTTTTTTTTTTTTTTTTTTTTAGCAGTTTGAATGAAACATGTCATGAACCGGGCCCAGATTCATTAGCCTGTCAAAACAGAAGCAGCCGGCCTTGCTGGCAGCTGCTTTAAAAGCGGGTTAAATATTGAACAGGTTCACTTCTCACCTGCTGCCACCCGTCACTCACTGACCCGGAGGTGGCGGAGAGTCAATGATATTAATGACAGCTATTAACCCGGTGCCTTGAACGATTTTCCCCGTCTCGCAAGCGGATGAATGGTTTTTATAACGTGCTTAACAAAACCACAAATCTTGTTAAGAAGTCTGGAGTTCTTGTTCATTGTATTTTTGTTGTTCGATTAGCTCCGGCGAGCGGCCGCTTGAAAAATGTCTCTGCCACAGTTAGTAGACTTAATCGCTGTGAACCACTGAGAGCAGCGTTTGTCAGTACGAAGCTGACCTTACTACAGCTTCTTTTCAATCTGTGTAAAAAACACAGGTTTTCAAATATTAGCATAACATTCCACAGTTTGACACAGCTGTGTGTAAAAGGGAGCTGCCAGGCTAATTAATTTACCAGAGATAAAGAGGTGCAAGGAGAGGAAGTTGTCTGCTCTAATCGCAACGTCCACCTCACACATTGGAAAATGAGCAAGCACACACACATGCATGCGCATGCACATATGCCTCTGCAACTTGTTCATACTTAAGGTGATGTGTGCACTGTGTTTCTAAGTTAAAGCCAAAAATTATTTTGATTTTAACTCAGAAATTATAGTTAATCAAGTAGATTTAAGAGCAAGAGACAAGTTGTTTAAACACTGCTCTTTAGATTCTGATTGCTCCTTCGGCAAGTAGTTATAACTTATTTCAGTAATTTAAACAAAAGAAGTTCACAATACAGAAGAAAACTGTCTTCATGTATTTGAATTTTATTTTTTTATTGGAGACTTGTTTATAGAATTTTTCACTCACATTTTCAAGCTAAAATATCTAATTTTAAGTTAGAGGAACTTAAATTCTAGTTTTACCTTGCAAGAACAAAATATCTGAACTCATCTCAATAAATTCTGCTCAGAAATATTTAGTTTGAACAAAGCTTAAAAAGGAGAAAATACTTTTTTCTTTTTAATTTCAATCCTTTTTCCATTTCAATCTACATGTTTTCCTTAATAACACACAAGATGCAGGTTATAGTAACACACTTCCATCTCAGCACGATACAAAAGCATACTGCTAAGCACCCTGGGAAAAGGTCCCTCACTTCCATCTTTTTTTTCCTTTCAGTTTTTTTTTAGTTCAACTTGAAAACTTCCATTTACGCAATTCTTAGAAATACAATCAAATTAATTTTAAAAAAAAGGTAACATAACTACTGTACGTTTAGCTTTCACAAACGCACATTTAAGTTCAAAATGTAAAACTAGCTAGATTTATTTTACTCAAATGGTAGTAGGTACTAGACATGACTAAATATGGCTCAAATGTTTTCCAGTGTAAAAACTCTGAGGTCTGACAGTCTTTGCCGATCAGAGATGCTCCCTCGATTAACACATGCATTCTCCCTCCCGCTGCACTGCTGTGCCTGTTTTTCTAGAGCTGCATGGCGGCTCAGTGGGGTGGGGAGGCATGCAGACAGTGGGATGCCTTTTGGTGAGTAAACAGGAGAAAACCGAGTAGCAGGTCCCGTTGGAGACAAAAAGGAAGCCGGATGAGTGGAAAAACAAAAGAAGGTGATGGCAGAGGAAGATGAATTAATGGAGTGGGACAGCAGGCAGAAGTTGGGTGTGTTGAGGTGGTTGACAAGCATAAGTTGGGAAGGAAAAGAAGAGGATTAGGAGAGTAGATGATGTCATCCTGCTGCCCATGCATGTCACGCCGGCACTGCGACGCTCCATGGAGAGCAATTACTGCTGTCCTGTCTGTGGAGCTCACTCTATTAGGAATGACAGCATCATCCAAAATTCAGCTGTCCTCCTCAGATATGAAGTCACTGCATGTTAAAGAACGGGAAGATATGGTGGAAACTGCTGCAGAAGGAATACCACTGCTTAAAGTGTGATGTTAGCACTGTCTTATAACTGCAATAAGTAACTTTTACAAAACATATTTTTTTACATATTTGTTAAAATTGTCACCATGTGGTGACAGTATAAATATGAGACAATCTATGAAACAAACAGTCTCCCTCCATGAGCTATGATTACCGTCTGAAGAAATGCATCACTAAAGGCCAAAAACAACCAATCACAGCCAGGAGGTTGATCCTGTCAATCAACCTTTATTCATTTTAAAATCAAATTTAAATGGATTTTGTTTGAATTTTGTTATAAAGACTAGCACAAAGTAATTGTGAAATAATAATAATGATAATAAAAAGGCTTTAAAATTTTTTTACAAATGCAAATCTAAAAAGTGATGCTTTTATATGTTTTATATGTCCTTTACTCTGATACTCCTAAATAACATCTAGTCCAATTTGGGAAGTTGTCCACTGAAATAAGACTAAATCTACCAAAAAAAAAAAAATCTAAAAGCTGATCTAAAATGCTGCTCACCATCACATTAAAACCAGGGCGATAGACCTTAGAAAATATTATTTAAAATACTTCTGTTAGGTTATGAATCACTTCATATATTTTTGCTCAACACCAAAAAACATTGTATCAACCTTCCAGACAAAACTCAAATCGAAGACTCTGGTTCTAGTTACTCTGCATCCCCAGAACCAGAACCAAAAATAGAGAAGCATCTCAACATCCCCGTTGCTTCTGTTTCTGCTATACGTTTAAATTTATTTATTTAAATGCACTACTTTTGAGAGTTACTTTTTTATTTTGTTGTGCTTTCTTGCACCGTAAATCTGGAACCGACTTCCAGAAAACTTCAAAACTGTTGAAACAGTGAGTTCCTTTAAATCAAGGCTACATGCGTACCTGTGTAGATTAGCCTATGACTAATAACCTTTTTTTGACGCAGTGATGTAATGTTTGTTTTTTCATCGTGCTTTGTTTTTCATTCATCGTGTAAAGCACTTTGGACTGCCTTGTCGCAGAAGTATGCCATACAAATAAACTTGACTCCAATAAAGAAAAGCATTTGCATACACTCAGTTGCTTCAATCCCCAGGAAAAGAACGCACACTCATAATAAAGGTCAACGTTTTTCATGTTTAGGTTTCTCTTGCAAATGACAGCCAGGCTTCAGTGACTCACCTCTTCATGTGTGATTCCTACAGTGTAAAGATGTCAGACACAGTGTGTTTTCCCACTGGGAGCTTCCCCATTACGACACATCTGAGAGACCGTGTACTGATCTGACACACGTGTTCAGCAGCGCTGTCACAACTGCATCCCCCAGAGCTTCCTGTGTTGCCATATTTCTCATGTTATCAAACTGTGCGAATCTCACTTTTTCCGTGAGTTGCCATGGTAACTTGGTAGATCCAGCTGGTCCCAGAGGCAAAAGGGACAGTCCTAAATGTGCATGTAAACACGCTCAGAGAGTGAAATATTGAACACCTCCCTGTTTCATCTGCATTTTAAGGAGAGTTGCTGTAAACTTAGTCTGAGTGAACAGTCCTAGCTTCTGTGTGCACAAGAAAATGTTATAAAATTTAGTGAGTGATTGTCATGTATAATTAAGCTTGTCTTATTTAAATTAATTGCTCTGTCTTGGACTATTGATTTCCTAATTTTACTTTTAGGATAGAATTCACAGATAAAATTATCATTAGAGTGTCATAAGTGGGGTTGTGTCTGTGTTTGGTGGCACACTGTCTTCTGTGAGCCACACTGTGTGTCTGACATTGAGCTGTTTGTGTTCTCTAGCTAATCTCCTTCTGGGGCTTGTTGAGCTCGTGTTCAAATGGCCCGTCTGTCTGGTTTTTGCTATTTTCAAGCAATTTTTCAGGCCGCCTCTGTCCGTGTGCCACCATCTGCTCTCCCTGGTATTATTGTGACATCTCCTGACACAGAGCTGCCACCGCTGACTCGGCTCCCAACTCTAACCAAAGCCAAACAAAATGTTAAAGGGGCAGTGTTGTGTATTCTCCAGGAACATAGTGTCATTTTATAGCACAATCAAAATAACTTATCTTAAGAAAATGCGGTCGATATCAAATATGACTTGAAAGAAATTTGATTTTGATATTTCACGCTTTGAAATTGGACCTCTGTCTCTGTAAAAAAAATCTTCTGCATTTTTTGAAACTCCAGCTTCAGAAACCCATCATGACATACATCCTCTACTAACCTTTTAACAACATTTTTATGAGTGACGCACTGAGAAGTAGCTTGTGTAATGAGCTCAGAAGATGTGGAGTTCCAACAGGTGTTTGCTAATTGCTCCTGGCTAGTCTGAAGGAGCTGAGTGGGAGCGTTACAAGGGAGGGCTGTTCTGTGAGATAGAACCTTGAAAGCTGCAGCTCTAAAGTGGAACTTCATCCTCAAAGGTGCCGTTAGGTCCAGCTAGGTGTTTTGCACAGCAGAACGGTTGCCACGGGAAATCAAAGAGTTTCTCAAACATGCACGAAAAACTCAAATCAAAACTCTTATGTTTTGAGGGAATGACATTATAAAATGATGTAAAGCTCCAACAAGTTGATTTTACACAATACTGTCCCACATAGCTTCTTATTATGATTGTCATCTGATAAAGTAAGTGATGATACTCTGATAAGTGATCAACTTGGGAGGTTTTATTCAACATTATACAATTAAACTGTTTTTTTTCCCGGTTTAATAGTGATTGCTTACAAATGGCATTAGGTTTATACAGCGCTTACTGGCAACAATAAGTACTTTTTTACCCCATTTTCAGCTGCCTTAATTCATCATACCGGAGATTCGGTAAGGTTTGTGGATTTTGGCTCAAATTGTCATGATGGCCTCACACGTTGCTGCAGATTTATTGGCTGCACCTCCATGATGCAACTGCAGTGGACCGATTGTCATGCTGGAGTGATCCGCTTGACATGACCTGAGCCAGCTTCATGACAGGCTGCGTTGTGCTGCTGAAAATAGCCATAGGAAGATGCACTGTGTTCATATATGTGAGACCAGTCAGAAGCAATGCTTAGTTAGGCTGTGGTGTTGAACAGAACCTCAAAGTGGACCAAGAAAGTACCACTGCTGAACCATCGCTACAAGGCGAGCTGGAGCCATGTTTTGTTTTTTGTAAGTAATTAAACAGATGGACCTAATCTAGTGGCCACTGAGTTTGAACACTGTATGAAATATACATCATGTTCCAAATTATTATTCAAGTGATATTTTCTCGGATTTTTTTAAATGGTCAATGCAAATGATGGTCAGTATAATTTTCAAGTCATGAACTGTTACAACATAAATCTGATTTTACTGAACAAAGCTCCCCATGAGAACAATATATTTTTCAAAAATAATAAACTTCAATTTGCACTGTTACAAATGATATGCACAGCAGATTTTCTAAACATTTTATGCATTATAAAGAACTGCAAACGGTCATTCTTTGAACATGCAGCATTCAGTGGTCACATGTACTAAAATCAAAAGCTATTTCAACCAAAAACATCTTCACAGACCAAGTTACATGTTAAGATAGAACCTTCTTTGATATCACCTGCACAATACTTGCATCCATTGAATTTATGAGTTTGTGGAAAGTTTCTGCTTGAATTTCTTTGCAGGATGTCAGAATATCTTCCCAGAGCTGCTGTTTTGATATTAACTACATTCCACCCTCAGATCTTCTGCTTGAGGAAACTCCAAAGGTTCTCAATAGGGTCAGAGGTCAGAGGAGGATGGTGATCACACCATGAGTTTCTCCCTTTTTATGCCCATAGCAGCCAATGACACAGAGGTATTCCTTGCAGCATTCATTGTCATCCATGAAGATGATTCTGTCTAAAAGAACCCGCTCTTCTTTTTGAACCATGAAAGAAAGCGATCAGTCAGAAAGTTGACCTTGTGCTGAGGTTATTTTCTCACCTTTGGGGACTCTGAAGGGGCCGACCAATGATTCTCTCCCCATGATCTCAGCCCAAAGCATAATTCCACCACCTCCTTGCTGACGTCACAGCCGTGTTGGGACGTGGTGGCCGTCAACCACCAATCTACTACTGCATCCATCTGGACCATCCAGGGTTGCACAGCAGTCATCAGTGAACAAGTCTGTTTGAAAATTAATCTTTATGTACGGCTGGGCCGACTGCCACCGTTTCTGCTTGTGATCACTGGTTTGGGGCCCAATAGTCGGTTCATGCACTGCAAGCCTCTGGAGGATCCTCCACCTTGAGGATCAGAGGCATCAGCAGCTTCAAATAACTGTTTGCTGCTTTGTAAGGGCATTTTAACAGCTGCTCTCTTAATAAACTCTCTTAATGAATTTGTCAAACAAAAACCTTCCTCATTATGCCTTTATCTGTACAAACACATCTTTGTTCTGAATAAGCCACAAATCTCTTCACAGTACAATAATGCTTCAGTTTCCGTTAAATATCGAATGTTTTCATATTTTGTCACACTGCACTACACTGATGGTCTTTGTCAGCAGAGAGATCCTTTCTCTTTCCCATATTGCTTGAAACCTGTGGCCTGCTTAATAATGTGGAACATCCTTCTTAAGTAGATTTCCTTTAATTGAGCTCACCAGACAAACTAATCAACCAGCTCTCTGAAATTAATTAAAGAAATTAATTCAAAGAGCCCTAACAAACAATACCATCTATAAATTTAATGGCACAACAAATTTAATCTTTGACACTTAAATCCAATTTGCATAATAATTTGGAACACTGTGTACTGTGACGTAAATGGGTTCAACAAATCATGTCTGTCAGGTGTTCAGTGAGGGTAAGCACTTAGCGCAGCTTATCATTTTGTAAAGAGCCCGTGTTTTTTACAGTGCTGGGAAATATAATGTATGTAGATTGTAATTGAATGTAACATATTTTATCAAACCATTGGTCTGCCATTTATTGATGAATATATCATAGTTAAGTTGATGCACAACACATCGTGGACTAACAAAAGCTATTCCTTTCTGTGACCATTTTACCAGCGGTGAATGACTGACTGTTCAGTTTGTCGGCGCTCTCATCTGGGAATGACGTCACAGCTAAATTATGAATGTTCGGGTAGCAAGTTGGGGAACCAGTGGGATTTTCTCATTGTTTCAGTCTCAGCAGGTGTTGGCAACACAAGCATCTAATGATGTATTTCTCTCTAATCATGTGTTCAAACACTTTTTTTTGAAAATGGATGCTCTCTGTGTGTGTGCTTCTGGCTCCAAAGTGTTTTCACATTTTTAAAAGCCCACAGCAACGTCGGATGCAGGATGCAGGGCTGCTTGTTGACCTCTGACTTTCTTGTCAGAATTGTGTCTTCAGGGGGGCAATGTTGTTGTATTTCCAGCTGGTACCAGAAAATCTTTGAAAAAAAATTTTGATTTTCTGAGTTCCCAGCTAGATTTTCATCTCATTGTGTGACTGACACTTTAATGATTTAATTCAAGTTTCTGCATCCACATTGCAGCACACACACTTAAAATCCTGCAAGTCCAGAGATTCCCCCTGCCCTCCCTATATAAGAAATCTGCTAAATGTGTTCTGGCCATTAAGCATTAATGAATTTTGACCATGAGTGTGATGTGAGCTGACCTCCTGCCCGGCTGCTGTCAGACATATTTACGTCTTCCTGCTTGTTTTTGTGTCTCGGTCAGTTTGTCTGTCCATCTGTGTTTCTGCCTGTTTACTCAGCACTTCTACGTGTCTGCACGCACATCTGTCTGTCTCGCTATTCGTCTCCGTGACAGCCAAACACTGCGAGCGCCGTTCGTCTCCCTCGGTTTGATGCACGTCCCGGGGAAACATTAGCTAGACTAATCTGTGACTTAGCTCATGTGAAGCTGATTGCTTTTCACCGTCTCAGATTTTGACAGTGATATTGATGAGTGGTTATAGGAAAAATGCTGCATGAGATGTGACGGCGTATTTTGATGCTGGTGTTACAGCGTCCTAATGAGCACCATTTGTCAGAGCAGACTGACACAGTTAGTCACGCTGGATCCATACAAGCATGTCAAGCACTGAAAGAAAAAATGCCAGCATGCTATTTATTATAGCGCACACTACAAATAGTTTGTAGTGTGCGTGGTATATTAATTAAATGTACCCATGACTAGCAAAGTTCTTAATGGTGACATTAACATACTTTTTAAATTGTATACAATGCCAGAAAAGTACATTCGACTGACTAAATTTTGTAATTTTTTTTTTTTCAGCCAGCGCTGTTATATCTGTGGTTTTCCTCAAGGAGACGGTTCGAGCTTCTGATGTAGTTGGTAAGCAAACACTAGAAGTCCATACCAGGGTTATGATAGTTTTGGGTGTTTTATTACAGTAATTTTGCTGTGACTTTTTGTTTGTCTAATTCGGTTCCTTTAAATGACTTTTTAGAGTGTGCTTGCTAGTTTTTAAAAGGTATTAGTTGTTAAATATTTAGCTTATTTTTTATTAGTTATTGTAGTAGATTTTTTTTTCCAATCTCTGGTTAATTTTTAGGTATAGAATTCAAAAAGATCGAAGTATTTTGATTATGTAAACATCATATGGGTAATGAATACTCAGCACTATTTTCAGAGTATCAGAAGGAGAATAGAGTGCCATAACTTGCCGACATAAACTGTTTGTGTGGGGGGAGAAAAATCTGGTTCATATCTGTTCAAAAGGCTATTACAGATTTATAAACACAAAAAGGATGGATATTAAGTCTGTTTTTTCAGTATGTTTAGTTTTATAAATCCATACTATAGTTCCAGTTAGTTATATTTTTTTCCCATTAATTACTGTTTTATGTCCTATAACAAAAGTGTTTTTTCAATTTTAGTTTGTGTTGTTTTGTTAGTTTAATTTAACCTTGGCCCATACATTTGAGGCCACAAATTCAATCTTTTGAATATTTGTGATATCATTGGAAGAACATTTTACAAAGATATATTCTGGTGTATGTATACATGCATGTATGTAGTTTTGCTTCAATATAAGGAAATAAACTGACTTGAACAAACAGACTAATTTTCTGGCACCCCTGGTCTATGAAAATTATGTAAGCCTTTAAAAAATGTACCCTTGTGTGCAGCAGAAAGTTTAAGATGAAGAACTCCCATTTTTAAAAATTAGATAATGAAAACATCCGAGATGTAAAATCAAATAATTGTTTTTAGCAAAATTGCTCATGGCTCATTGATTAATATTCTTACCATTTTTAACAATCCCTTCAAAAGAAATGGAAAAGAAGATATTTAAATTTTCACTTCTTCACATTTATCCTAGGGAAGTTCTAATTACTGTTTCCCTGAGGATTAAGTATGAAGTTTCACACAAGTGCATTTGTTTTGGCCCTTGGCAACCAGGCTGAACAAATTTCCTTATTTATCTTCCTACTTTGCAGAATTTTAAAGGGAAGTAACAAAGCGTCTCCATTACAATCAGCATTATTGGCACTCTAAAGTGGTTGCTTGGGAAAGAACTTTTACTATCCAACCACTAAAAACAGCATGTGAAGTTTGTTATACATTACTGGGACTTTAAACAGAGCTGTGTTTTGTCTGGGACACGTGTAACATTGATCATTTCTGCAACAAAAGCTCTGAGTTGGTTTGACCTTAAACAAAGAATGAATGTGTGAAAAAGGAACCAGGCACATTGTGAAGTATGGTGGAGGATCCGTGATGCTGTGGGCTTGTTTTTCCGCAAAATGCCCTAGAACCTTGTTGTGAACTTGTCTCAAAGGAATTTTTCAAATAAAAATCAGGTAAACTCGGCTGTAAAACTGAAACGAGGCCATCGGCAGGTCTTTCAGAATGATAATGACCAAAACATAAAGCCAGATGAACACAGAATTAGTTCACCACACATAGAATCTATTTTATCCGAGTGATTCTCAGTTCCAATGCCTAAAGCCTGTAGAAAACCTTTGGATTGAATTGAAGAGAAAAAAGAAAAAGAGGACCAGGGGGAAATGTTCAAAGAGAAATGTTCAGAGGTCTCTTTCTCTGTGTGTGTGTCTCCCTGTCTCTGTGTGTGCTCTAACATTTTTTAAATGTTTTAAGAGAAAAGAAGTGCAGTACCACTGGTAAAATTGGATCGTACAAGTTGTATAAGTATTAATACAGTGTTTTGTTATATAAAAAACTTTGCTTTTTTTGCCTCAGAAAATACAATTACTCAAATTGAAAGTAGATTTTTTTTATTACTTGATGTTTTCAGGCTTTTGACACATATTTATTACAGGTGAAACATGTACCTACCTTAGAATATTTGCAAAAAAATCTAATTCTTTTTTGTTTCAAATGTTAACTAGATGTGCTGTGTTCAGATCTAATCACAATGTTTAGTATTCGACAACAATATTTTGAGCATGCTGATAAATAGCATGACTGTCACGGCTGTCACAATGACGAGCGTCACAGCTGCTGAACTGGAAATCCATATCAGTACCACACAGCTCTGTGTGTTGTTGCTTTCACAAATAAAGCAGCATCAGTTTGGGGGGTTTAGTCCTGTAATTGTTGCAGAGCATTCAGCAATAATTTAGAGACATTTTCATAGTCAAAAAACAAAAAAAAGCAATATTTATAATGAGAGGCATTGACGGAGGCTGGCTTTGTTTTCAGTAATGTGCTGTGTGCAAAGAGGTGAGCAAGCCAGAATACATTCATTCAAACCACACAAACCGGGGAATGTGCTTGGTGAGATTAGCTGTATTGTTTCCTCTCTAACTTTAACAAAAGAAGAATATGAATATGCAAAAGATGCTGTGTCTAATTTGATTTTGCAGCTGATTCACCAATCAGGCTTCTCAGGATGAAGACTGACTTCTGCAAATTTTAAGGGGACAGTTTCGGATGAGGTCCCTCTCTGTTCCCACATCAAGAACTTGACTGGACTCTCCTGTCTCTTTCTCCCACAGGTGGCAGCCTGGCCATAACTGGAACGTACCTCCTGGTGACCTTTGCCCCTCACGCATCCACACACATCACGGCTCATCTGGTCCAGTACTATGCCATCAGCTGGCACTTCCTGCTTTACCTCGTATGTAACCCTCCTCAAGAAAACTGATGGATGGCTGCAGCTGTGTTTCCATTATAAACGCACACAAAAATTTGGTGATATTCCACTAGTGTTGCAAAAAACGCAATTTTGTTTTTCCATTGAATAAGAAATGCAATTACAATCAGTTGTGTATAAGTTTGTCCACAGGACATGCCCTCATAAAACAAGCCGTGCCAACAGCCTCCAAATACTTCCTGCCATCTTCTTTGTGCAAGTGGCAAAAGCTGGTTGTTGGTCACATGACTTGTGACTTGTGATGTGAAAAAGGTGTTCCCATTGCTGTTTTGCAAAATATGCCAAGTCCAATGCAGCCAGAAAAACCGTCTGACCCTAGTGCAAAAAGTTTTTTTATCAAAAAAATGTGAGGCTTTTTTACATTCTGCCAAAAATAAATAAAAAACACTTAACACTGGAACAAGTGAACAAAATAAACAAAACAACCAAAAAAAAAATAAAATAAAATGTACTCTGTTTCTGTTAACAAAAGAAAATCCTCTTGAATAAATACTGAACACAACATAAAACCAAAGTGGAAATAAAAACTACATTCAACCAAAAGAGTACAGATAATGAAGTCTGTATTCTATATTGCCCTTCAATAATCATTAGATTCAGTTAAAGAGGGGCAAATCCGACCACCTGATGCTAAGAAAATGAGGAAAGAAGGAGTCAGTGGAGAGCAGCAGAGTTCAGCCTTTTTTCATCCAGTGTCATCAGTAGAAAGAGAAAAAGGCAGGAAGAAACGCTGAAGCCAATACATTAAAATGACGTTGAAAATTTTCATTCATCATGCGATGTATTGTTTATTGCGACAGGCCTACCTTCCCTCTGAGAACATTGCTGCTCCTCTGTGTTGTAGCCTTGCCCCGTTTCACCTCAAGCAGTGAGGGCACAAACATAGCTGTTGCCATAGTAACATATCTGGAGGACACAGCTGAGTTGGAAAAACAAAAAATACTCTGAAAATGAAATGATATTGTTGGCTCGGGATGTGAATGCTTGACTTTGTCTATAAACACTCCAGAGATGCTGTTCAAGGTGGGAGTTCACGTCCTGCTGCCGTCCAACTGCAGCTGGCCTACGGTGCTCTGCTGTTCATTCTTAAAGTGGAACCACGATTTGAAAATTTTTATTTATTTTTTTTAGCTTTTGCAGAACCTAAGACTTGCAGAATACAAATACAAATTTGCAAATACAGTTTATTTTTATGTGGTAGACAAACCAAACTGAAGGAAACTGGTGTTGTTTTCAGGTTAAGATATAAACTTGCCATGGAAAATCTCATCCATCCATCCCTTTTCTAACACGCTTATCTCATGTAGAGTCATAAGAGATGCTGTTTACAGTGAATGGAAAATGTCATCCTACAAAAAAAAAAAGAAATTACAAAACTTCTCTTTGTGCCGGGCCGTTCTGGATTTGTGGTCAAGGGGCTACAATAGGCCCCTGCGCCGCACTTTGAACACCCCTGCTTTACAGCTAGAACAGCTTTAAACCTTTATGACTGACTGATGCTTTGAGGCTTCTGGCGTTTAAAGTGAGGAAAACTGTAAATACATTCGAGGCATATGGATATTTTTACAACTCACTGTGTGTGTTTTGACAGATTGCTCCTGTCATCATTGGTGTGCAAAACAGAACGCTCTTCCTCATTACAGTGAATTAGTTTTCTCAGAGTGGCCGCCTCCAACCAGTGTGGGATTAATTGTAGCTGGTGATTAATCAGAGGAAATGAAATATCATTGCTGACTTTTGATCATTAACAGAGGTTATCCCATCTTCTGGTGTAGAGAGACTGTTTGGTTGGTGTCCCCTGTGTGTGTGTGGTGTGGGTGTGTGTGGTGTGGGGGGGGGGGGGGGGGGGGATGTGTGTGGGTGCACTATCGGTAATGACTCGAGTCTTTGGTAATCCATTCCACATAGAATAATTACATTCTGGAATGAGCTCTTTATTTAACATACACACTATGCTACCAGGATGGCATTGGGACATTTTAAAGGTCAGCTTGGCCTTTTTCCCCTCCATACAGCTGCTGTGCTCCTTTCTTACTGCACCTTATTAAATCTGTGTTTAGTCGGGAACGACTGAATGCCGCCGGACTCACAAAGACAGCTCCAAGCCCTTCTCATTAAACACAAGAAATTCATCTCTTTTTTTGTTTGTTTTTCTTTTGCAACAGTCACTTATTTCAATTAAACTGTCATTTTCTGACCGTGTGCCACAATTTCTTCCAACGATAAGACGGCAAAAGAAAGTTTATTTTCAACTTTCTGTTTCTGAGCAAATTAAATGAACATTATTCACTCGTGTGACCCTCCTTTCTTTCTCTCCCCAGTTCATCGAGGTCGTCCTGTTCTGCATTCTGCTCTATCTGTACAAGAGGAGGGGTGTGAAGCACATTGTCATTGTGATGCTGCTGGTGGCCCTGCTCGGTACGAACACATAGAATGCGTCCAAACGAGGGCAGAGGTTATGGATTGAGCTATTTTAAGTAAGCAGAGAGGTTGTCTTGTTGCCAGGCTACCAAAAGCAGACCTCTGTTATTCATTGCTAGTTTGAGATTAGTATAAAACTATGTGGAAAAACATTATTCACACTGGCAGAGATAAATCGCCTCCGCAAGTCTTCTAACAAGAACAGGAGAATTTCTTGAACACAAGTCGAAGAAACGCTGCTTTTGACTTTGTGCCGTTGCAGCCTCCCTTACGGTCATCTCGGTCAAAGCCGTGTCAGGGATGATCACAGAGTCGATAACGAGCCAGCTGCAGCTCATCTATCCCATCTTCTACGTAATGCTTGTCGTCATGGTGGCCTCTTGCGCTTTCCAGATCAAGTTAGTCAAGGTTTACTTTTGCCAGAGAAACAAAAGAAACAGAGAAAACTACATTATTAGTATGCTATTACTTACCATGTTTGGTATCTTCACAGATTTCTCAATCAGGCAATGAAAATGTTTGACGCCATAGAGGTGGTTCCCATCAACTTTGTGTTTTTCACTGCGAGTGCCATTATTGCAGGTAGGCAAAAACACTCTTTTTCTTCTCTTGTTAAAGGAAGAAAGTAAATTGATCAAAGAGATCAAAGGTGGAAAGGTGTGAAACCTTCCTGTTCACGGCATCTTTTAGCTGTATTGATCCTTTGGTCCATCTGCAACAAGAAAACCTCAGTTCAAAAGCAGTTCATTAATGCCAAAGGGAAAAAAATAAACACATGGACAAAATTGTTGACACAATCAAAAATGGTCACTGAAATAACTTAAAGCTGCTGCTGAAAACACAATTCACAATAATTCAACCTGCAAGATATTGCAAAATAGCATAAATATTGCAAGATTTCTTGAAAATATTTCTAAATTAGCACCAGAAAAATTTTATTGATTACAAAAACAAAAATCACAAAAACAAATTCTTTAGAGACTGATGTGAAAAGTCATTCAATATAATTTCATTTCAAGAAATCTCCTCAAGAACATTCATTATCCAAAATGACTTTGACACCCCTGGTCTAAAGTGTTCTCACGATCCAAATGTAATCGATCAGAAACACCAGCCTGACATTCTCCTCTAGCTTTTTCTTCTTCTTCACAATGGGACAGGTCTGTCACTAGTTGGACCTGGAAGAGTCTCAGGATGTGTGGTTTGGACTTACCCTCACCTTCCACAGCTTTTTGTCTAACTGTTGCTGTGTCTGCCCACACAAAAACACGATTGACTCCATGGAACAACAAATTGCTTCTTTATTTTCTATCAGCAGTGCAGGAACATCCGTGGGCGGATTTTGCTCTTAAGATTAGTTTAGTTCCACAAGGAAGAAAATGAATGTTTTGTTTGTATTTTTTCTAAATTCTAATTGCCACAGCAGTTAATTTGAGCTGGTGAACTGCATGAAGAAATGCCTTTGCCTGCCTTTTGGCAACATAAGCAGATTCAGGATGAAATTTTCTCTTATCTGGGCGATCAGCATAGTAATGGTGAGTGATGTTTATTCTGCTACCAATCTGTAGAAGCACATCGGTTAATAATAGAGTTCTTATCTTCCCATCATGTGCTCATATTTTTGTAGCTCTATATCAGAGCTCTTGAGATAACTTTAGTTTATTTTTTTATGTTCCAGGGATAATATTTTACCAGGAATTTGAAGGTTTGGCTTTGCTGAATATATTTATGTTCTTATTTGGGTAAGTGTTTTGCAAACCCCTCATTGTGTTTTCTTGTACAACAATAGCAGCAGGTGTTGGCATTAATCCTCCCTGAATCTGTCTTGTAGCTGTCTTCTGTCCTTCATCGGAGTTTTCCTGATAGCCAGAAACAGACCAAAGATAAAGCAACAAGATCGCACTTTTATTCCAATGGACAAGATTCCTGGTAAGTTTTGCCCTCAGATCAGTTTAAAAAAAATTGAAAAAAAATCAACAGTATGATGTCAAACAGGCCAGTGAGACAGAATGAGTTTAGCAGCAGGGTCTCACCTAATGAGCTGTGCCGTCCATGTTCACAGGGAAAAGGAACATAGACAAAGTGCAGCCCGAGGCAAAGACCCAAACATACGGATCACTGGCAGCCAAGCTCATGTGCAACAGAGCCGGCCAAACAGACGACTGATAGGAAGCCTCTCCATCTGTCAGGACTGCTGCTTTACTCGGTTTGGGAGTGAGCTCATTTTACAGGGTTCAACAAAATGTCTTATTAAAAACAGCACAAATCTAGAAGAGAAATATTTCTCTGTATAATTGTCACCAGTCTGGAATATCCTGATGAGGAAAGATTATTTGAAAATTAAACTCTTCATGATGGCACTAAAATGTCATATCCTTCATTGGCTGCAATAAGATAAAAAAAAAAAGAATATAAGCAGGTTTTTGCAGACCTGATGTCTCAATAGTCTATGAATCAAAAGTGCACTGCTGCCCTCTAATGGTAGGAAAAGAACACCTGATTGCACTTGTTATTCTTTAATGATCAAATGTAAATTTACATAATTTAAAAAGAGAAAAAGTAAACTTTAAAGCAGTGTCATGTTTTTCTTTATTTGTGTAATGTAAACACTTTGTTTAAAAGCACCAACCTCTTTTCTAACTCACCTTAGAAGCACCAGAGTGAAGCTTCACCGCCCATCTTCACCTCAGTAAACCTCAAGACTGCATGCCTGGCTGAGCCGCTACCAAACTGTAGTGTTGCCAAGCAACAAAACTCTTATCTGCCACCTACACATTATGGGATATGCGGGAAACCACAGTTCATGGCAGGGTTGCTGCAAGAAGGCACAAAGTTTAAGTATCTGTAGTTGGATGCAGTTGCAGAGCCTTGCAGGAGTTCTGTCAGGGTGCAGCCACACACGATGTGTTTTACTGACATTTTGTAATTGACCAACAGTATTTTTTAAAATGAATTTAGATTTAGAGAGTAATTTCTCTACCGAGCCACTTTTGAGCATAGTTGCAGTCTTTTTGGGGCAGATTCCAACCAGGTTTGCACATCTGCAGACCAAACATTTCACCCAGTCGTCTTTGGACTTCAGCTCAAACTCAAATAGGATAGAATCTTTAAGCATCAAGTCTTTGCACAAATTGTCACTTTCATATCATGCTGGACTTTAATTAGGCCATTCTCCACAATAAATTGCAGCTATGTCTTCATATTTGGGGTTGTCCCACTCAAAGGTAAACCTCCTACACAGTATAGATAGTATGTTAAAAGTAGTTTGCAGTGGTTGCAATTCTTGGAGTGCAATTTAAAAAACAAAACTTCAAATCTTAAGTTTCCTCTGACCAGATCACCTTCTGCTACAAGACTTTTGATGGCTTTCTTCTTGGATTTTGGGATGTAATGTTGAACCATCATCGTCAAAATTATTCAGGGTTTCTGCAGATTGCACAAACTCAAATTTAAGTCTTGTGTCACAACAGAAATATACTGAAGAAAATTACATAGTTTGCCTATTCTCTTTACAGCTGTATCCTTAGTGCCAAGCTTTTTCTTTCCTCCTCAGAATACACGTAGCATTGAACAGGTTGTCAAGAGAGCCAGAAGTGAAGATGAATGTCGTCAAACCAACCAGCAATAATTTGCACTTTACTGTAATAGATACAGAATAGCTAGCTAAATGGTAGCTAGGGTGTATTGGCTAGTTAGCAGCACAGAGTCACAGAACATGCATGACTCAAGCTTTTGCCTGAAGGAAAAGTCCTGAGGAGAAATAAAATGACAAATTACCATATAAGATATTAAAATAGTCCTGCCCCCCACAACATTTAAGACATATGAGTAACGTAACTTAAGGCCAACTTAAGTTGGTTTTTTTTAATCAAGTCTTTAAAACTTTAAGATGCACAGATACCTTATTTGATTTTCTTTCTTATTCGCATTTATTCAAACCAAAAGCTCTTAGCTGCAGTTGTATTTTCTTCAACATAAAACACTTTAATCAACAAAGGATGCAGAAGGGATCAGATTTCTTTCAAAGATCCCAGAATCTCATGAGCTGCATAGACAAGGATTTCTGATGACACTGTTGGTGTGTAATACACACACCTTTGATTGGATGCCTCAGTCATGCTCTCTGTGAAGGCACATGATTTTCACCAGCCATTCGGTCACCTGCCACTGCACAACACAAGTCTTTTTTTAAGAAGGCTGGTTCTGTTCGGATCCGGCTGTTGGACGTCATACGTCGATGTTGAGCCTGACGAAGCGATAGTGCAGGGAGGTGGGGTTGCGCAGCAGCAGCGTTCCTCTGACCTCAGGCGGTTGCTTGAGGAGTGTGTGGAGTAGACCGGAGACGCTGACGAAGCCCAGAGCCTCCCCGCGCCCCACAGACAGGGAGAAGTCCCCCTGGGTGACCCAGCCCAGTGTCACCCGGGAGCAGTGAGACGCCACGCTCGGCAGAGGGTCAGGCCAGAGCCCTAGGATGAGGTCAGAGGGCAAATGGGGGTCTGTGGATGTAGTTGGGTCGTCTGGTACTTGTGATGGAGTTGCCGTCTTGGAGCTCTTCTTCTTGCTTTTAATTCTGCTTTTATAGTGGTCTTTGTGGGGGGGCTCCTGAGGGCCACAGCTTTCTGGGCTCTTGCCAAACAGCTTCAAGTCCTCTGCAGTCGGCGCGCACACCATGGCGTGGGCTTCTGGTTTCCCTTTGGACAGCAGCGTCAGGCGCACCCACACCATACTCATCTTGTGAGTGGCGTTGAAAGACGTCACCGCCGAGTCGCTGAGAGGAAGTGCCGCCGCCGCCCCGCGGCCCTGTCTCTGTCCTCTGCATGTCTGGGGTCTGCACCAGCTGGAGAGAAGCCTCAGAGACTTTCTGTTCCTGGAAAACCCAAAATAACCAGCATCCATTTAGAGCAGGTGTGTAATATTCAAGATACAATTCACTGGTGAGCGCAGAGAGAGAGAGAAAGATGTATGTTTTGTAATTTATGACCCAGAAAACAAAAATGAAGCCGATGGGACTGAAAATCTGCTTGATTTATTCTCAGGAAGTCACTGACTTTACTCAGCTTATGAGCTGCTTTCAGGGGGGAAATGCAACTTTTCCCATCTGCTAATCAGTGATCTACTGCAGCAAAAAGGCTGCAGTAGATCACTGCAGCCTTATTGCAGTGATCTTTGAGGATTCTGAGAAAAAAGGCAGACTGGAGGAACAGCATGCATCAAGCTTGTCCAAAGCTTTAACATCTTATGAGATCTCTTCAAAATAAAAGACTTCCTGGGCTCATCTTATTTATGCATTTAATAATCTCTCCAGGATGTTGCGATGTTTATGTGAATGTTGTGGCCTAAACTTACTAATTTTGTGGCACCATTTTCAAAATGTGTCCGATATTTTAAGCTATATTTCTGTCATAAGATGGTTACAAAAAAGTTGGAGTTGCTGGAACTGAGGACCAGGAGGATAGGTCAAAATTCAGCCGACTGCAGGGATTGGTTAGAAAAGAAGGAAAACATTAATAATTGGTGAAAACTGCAAGTCCACACAAAATTTACAAAAGATCAATGAGTTTGCATTGATGGTTTTCATCACAACTTCCTGGAAGCACTGATATGGTTCTCGCACCACTTTAATTTTTTCACATTTTGCCATGTTAGCAAAACTTATAATTCTATTGATTTGTATTCAGCCTCTGTGAGTCAACACTTCCCAATAAGAATCAGTGAAGTTGTCAAATGTTGATAAGTTAAAAAGCTACGATTACTTTTTCACGGCAGCCACTCCAACGCAGTTAGACAAGAATCACAATCAAAACTAACTTTACCTCAGAACAATGAAGCGGCTCGGAGGACTAGCTGCAGCTACTTTCTGCTGTGATGTCACTTCCTCAATCACTTCGTGGCTCTTCCTGGTCATCTGGGTCTGCCCGTCTCCTTTCCTCTCCGCTCCGCCGTCCGTCGCCAGGAGCTCCCACTCCTCCGCCAGCTGTTGCCAGGGGCAACGAAAAGGAGCCAGACAGCCATGTTTTATGTAATTGGTCCTCTTGGCTGGCGGACGCCTGAGGGACAGGGTGAAAGGTCATGCCCTCGTCAAACAGTAAGCGGAAACCCCGCCAGGTTCTGGTAGACAGAGCTAGTGTTGAGTTCAGGCAGCATCTTCATCAGCATCTTCATCAGCATGTCCACAAATATCTGCTTAATGTCAAAGACTTATTCTGATTATCATCTTATTTTTTGTTAATTATTTAAACTAGATGTTGTACCCAAGTGATTGTGTACAGATCAGTCATTTGAGATAATATTCAAAATGCATCTGCAATTAGAGTTATTTTAGTAATCAAGGAGTCAATTATTCTGACAACTGGATAAACAAAATGATCACATTCAGATTTTTTTTAATTTGGTCACTGAAGCCTTTTATTTATATATAAATATATATTTTAAAAGATGCAGACAAATAATTCAATTCATTTTTTAAATACAAAATACACATTTTATTGCCTAAAATGCAGCAGCAGCATGAATCTGCAACTGCAAAATATTAATATGTGAGAATCTTAAGCCTTTTTGTGAATTCAATTAGCACGGATATTTTGCTTCCCTCTGGACCTCGACCTTTAACTGACCTTCTAAATTTGTCCAGGAACTCGGCCTCCTGCTCCTCCTCAAAGCGGGATCCTGCGGGGCAATCTGGATAGTCGTGGGGAAAGTGGGGAGCCGCTTTGTTCTGAGAGTGTTTCAGACTCATGTGCAGACCGGCGACTCGAACCCCTCTGTACACCTGGTGGACAGAAAAGAAAACATATTAACTTTTAATAAATATAAATAATAATAATCCAAAGAAGACTTCTGGCAATGTCTACCAGTCCAAATGTTTCTGGGAAATCATGGAGATTAACTATCCTCTGTCTGATTATCTTCGATTTCTGTCTGATTTTTCTCATCCTCATTTTCAGAACCCAGCTCTAATAATCAAAGCATTAAAACCTGATCATGCTGTCCCTTTATGGTTGGGCCAACATCCATCGGATCAGTCCCCTACATTTAAAATTCACCCACTCAGAAGCTCTTCCATTATTGTTACTGTGCGAGTAACAATATTTATAGCAGCTTGTGCATCATGACACATTTAAGTCCTTGGATAGTTTTTGAACTAGTTTTCATGTTTTATTCTTTCAGAATCTCCATAATTAATACACTAAGTTCTTCACTAAGTTCAGCGATTTCTTCTTGTGGAAGGGGAGTTTTTCCTCTCCACTGTCACTACATGTACCAGGGATTGCTTCAAAGTGACTCCATCCAATCAGCTTGGTTTGCTTCAATAGAAGATGTTTTAACCAAACCAGATCTGTTGTAAAAACCTCCAGCAGCTTATGAAGCATTACGGTCTGTCAGAAAACACTGTACAAGAATTAAGATGGTAAATTTTAGCTGTGTTTATAAACTTCCAACAAAGCTGATACAAAGATAAACAGTCTAAAAGGCAACAGTTAAAATGTTGGTGATAAATTGCCATATTCTGCTCTGCTTGGCAGATCGGATGTTCTGCCAAAGAACACAAACGAAGAAAAACAAGCTGCAGCTGTTGCTGCTCTGCTATTGTCCCCGCAATGAGATTATCACATAAAACCCTGCTCATAAAAAAAAATCCTATATGACAGATTGTTTCCCCCAACAAAATCCAATAAAAAATGTTGGGCCGTTTTATTTGCATTGGAAGAACGATCGGGTGTTTAAGAAGAATGTTGGAGCAGAGCTACCTACCAGTGGGACCCAGAAGGCCATCCCCCAGCCTTTAGGAAGCAGCAGGTCCCAGCCGGCCCCCCAGGAACCCAGCTCGTCGCCCACCTGCTTACCAGGCTGATGAACCAAGAGGACGGGGACCCGGCCCTGTTGGGGCCCGGGGCCCAGCCTGGAGCCCGGAACCAGCAGTTCACTCTTCATCCTGTTCAGCTCCTTTAACCAGAACACAGAAAACTCCTCAGGGGAGAGAAGCAGCTGGCCAACAGAAGTTTCTTTATAAACTCCTGCTCTTTCAGAAACTCCATCTTCGGGAAGTCATCAGAACGTCACTCCTCGACTAAACCTTTAACGTTTTTACCAGCGTTTCACTGAGAAGTAGCTCCTATGATTCTGTATTTAATTTCCCTTTGGGATTGATAAAGTATTTGTGAATTAATGAGCTAAGCTGACTTGCAATCCCACCAGGTGTTACTAATTGCTAGTGGCTAGTCTGAAGGACCTGAAAGACGTTTCAAAGGCAGCGCTGCCAGCTAAATGGTTGCCACGGGAGATTTAAAGATTTCTCAAATATGCTGGAAAGAATCAAGGCAACACAGGCATGTTTTTGATGAAGAAATAACATGATGCAAAGCTGAAAAAAAAAAAGACTTTACACGACACTGCCCCTTTAAGACAGGACTGTGGTGATGTTTCTGATGGTACCTGCTCAGATATCTTGTTGTCAGTGACGTTTTCCCGGACAGACCGCTCCCACAGGAAGCTCTGGCAGCACTGCAGTGGGACTCCTTGCAACATCAACTGGTTCCTCTTCTCGTCACCTACTGAAGAAAAACGCATACATGCACACACACACCCACATAGTATGGTCCTGTGAAGGCAGCACCGCGACATTCCTGTGCAACAGAACCCACAGAATCAATCACGGTAAATAGAATCAGTCACATGTTCATGGCTGCACCAGTAAATCTTCCCGATTTTCTAAATTTTGGGCTAAAGGTCTTACTGAAAAGTTACTTCTAAGTTAGTTTTGCCTTATTTCAAGTGTACTAAGATATTTCCACTAGAAGCTAAAAAATTACTTGGTAAGATTGTGTTTTCACACATCCCTGTAGTCACAGTACATGTTGTAGGAAATGTTTCTACTTTTAACTTTTGTATGCAAATGATTACTTCGTGGTTTCAAAAGTTGATTGCATTGTGTTTTTAATTATTATTTTTTGCCAAACGCCCTTCCATTTTGCTGACTTTCTGTAGGAAGTAAGTTAATGGAAGGAAAGAGAAAACTTCTCTTTCTCAGGAAACAGAAGCTGCTCACTAAATCCCAGAATGAAATCAATTTACAACAGCTGCAATTTTTCAATCTGGGGTATTCAAGTGCCAAAGAAAATTTGGGTTTCAGCAATTTTTCACCATCAGGCCATAAGTTAATGGATGAACATTTGTGAGAACTGGCTGTATAAATATAAAGGTCAAATAGGAATAACAAAGATTTGTCTTACTTTGAAACTGTTACCACATGTTTCTTGCTGTTGATGTGAATTACGCTGATGGGTTTAAAAGTCCACTTTATCTAGTCAAGGCCACTGAATCCCGGAGGTTCTGTTTGGAGTACAGGGTTCTGCCAGGATTCGAACCTGGAACATCTGCATGGCCAGGCAGAGGCTTCCCAAAGCACAGAGCCAAATGTGTACTCTCTGCAGCAACCTCCAGGTTGGAGCTCAGACACCCAGAGGGTAATTACAACCAGTTTGTATCCTTTCTTTTGGTTGGTTTTGTTTCAGACAATAAACCCTAGCTCACAGCGTGTGGTGAATTCAGGGCAAAAAGCTCATCGTCTTTCCAGCAGGACAGTTTTTACCTTGGTCCTGGTTCACACAGGGCGCGGCTTTAACCCTCTGTCTGGGTAGAGTCAGTCGGGGGTCGTCCACGGTCAACCCCAGCACCGTTCCTGGGGGGAGCTCTCCAGTTGAATAGATATCTGGATGAGTTCATCGCACACACACACACTGAGCAACCTGGTCAAAATCAGTCCCACCAGGATGGCTGGCGCTAGTTGTTGAACATGACACAGCTCATGGTGCGTTTAAGGACGCACCATGACTTTGGAAAATTACATTACCATATCTTACAGTTACAGGAAATTGTACAGCACAGTTGGTTTTTGCAAAAAAAATAAAATTATATATATATATATATATATATATATATATATATATATATATATATAAAATGTTCGAGAGACCCATTGAAACAAGTAATTAAGTTAAAAGAAGGCTAAGGGAATTGGTCAGAAAATAATAAAATACAGAAAACATTAAGGTCAGATTTTTGGAAAAGTTGCAATAGCTAGTGAAAATTAGAAGTCTGCAAAAAATTTGTTAATCACCATTGAATTTGGGTCAATAGTTGTGATCGCAACTTCCTGAAGGGATAGTAAATAAGCAAAACAAAAAAACAGAAAAAGACAAACCTTTCAGTACATTAAAGACATTCGTTTGTTGCTGATGGAGCTTCATGTTGCTCTGGTCTTTGCAATGCTCAGGCCACCAGAGGGGAGAAGACTTCAGCTCCTGAAACAGAAAGATACAAACTGAGTTTCTCAGTGTGAAAACTGAAACTTCACTTCAGATGCTGCTTACATCACAGACTGTAGCTGCCTCCAAAGTCTCCGCCAGCACAGAATGAGACTGTGGTCCAATCAGACGATAGCGTATGATCTCCATCGTGAGATCGCTGAAATACAATTAGAGAAAAGAAATAACAGAACAGAACAATCATCGACAGACTTCATAATCCTAACTTTGGTTTTGCTCAGAATCTTGGAGCTGGACTGACTTTATAACTAGTCCAGTTGAGCTGGACCTCCAGGTAACCGGGGAGGTGGGCAATCTGGTTCCATCTCCCAGAATTCTCTTTGCAGGAGGTTCACCGGCATCCTTACAACGCCGCTTTCTCTTGGCTCCAGCTTTCAGCTCATTGTCAGGATTTGGTTCTGGCTGAGGGGCGGGATCAGCCTCTGCACCCAAGACCTCCGGTTCAACAGGGGGCGCCACGGCCTCGGAACATTGGCACACGCTTTGTAATTCTAGGAGCAGATCCTGGATACAAGACACATGAACCAAACTCGCCTCTATACGACTCATTCCTGGCAATACCGACAATCACACCTTGGAAATCAGACCTGTTTCAAAGCAGGATGAGCCCAGATCCACAGCTGCCGGTTGATTAGTCCTGGTGTTTGGGGTCTCCAGAGGAAGGTAACAGGTCCCAGGGGGTCGGCAGGGTAGCGACCTGCCCGGTACACTGTGACGCTGCCCTGTCTGGCCCCTGACAGGAACATGGCTGCAGCAAATGTAGGACCTAGAAAGGAAAACACCAGAACGGGACTTCTACATAGAAATTTAGACTAAGGGTATTTTCATGCCTGATAGTCCAGTAGACTCTTTGATTGGGGGTCAAAGTTACAACATTTGTTACTCTTGAATCTAGTGTGGTTCCCTTTCTCACTGCACTGTGCTAAACAAACCACTCTTAGATTAACCTGTTCCCCCTCTTGTCTGAGATGGTGCTGCACCAAGAGCCACTGAAGGAAATGACACAAAAACCACTGAAGAAGACAGACTACAACTTCTTTCTTAAAGGAATGTAAACAAAAATGGAGTGGTGTCAGGTTTCAGCAGTTGTAGGATTTCTCTTTTGTTGTTGATGAAAGACCATTTACCCAGAATGCCCTGCACTGTAGTCCGGATCACAGTTTGATTAAGCATCTACAGGTCCAAAAATCAAACCATCTTCCTAGACAAATGAATTGTCTTTGAACTAAGCAGAGGTGGCATGAACGCACCCCAAATAAGAACAGATCGCTAGAAAGATTGAGATTTGTTCTCACCAGCCTCCTTGCATGTCAGCTGAGTCAGAGCAGCCAGCAGCTTGTCTTCCTCCCCCTTCAACTCAATGCAGCAGTAATAAGAAAGATCCTGAGGTGGAAAAACATGACGGGTTACAAACTGAACCCCCTGCAGAAACTGAAACCATGTTGTTCTCTGTAGCTACCTGTAGGAGGCAGTGGCTGCTCATCGCTCTGTAGCATGGCCGGTAGCATTTGTATGTGGGTCTGACCCCCAGACAGTATCCCCACTTTTTCACCATGTGGAAGCGCTTGGCGTGCCAGATGTGCGTCTCCAGCCAAATGTTCTTCCTCTGGCGCCGGTTGAACTCCAGCAGCAGGTTCCCGTGGCGACGGCGAGCTTTGCGGCTCTTGCTCTTCACCAGTTGTTTTTTTTTCTTTCTCTTTCTCCTCTTCGAGCCAGCCTGGAGGCTCCTCTCCCTCTGAAGGCAAACATTCAGAGGGAACGAATGTCAGAGACGGGCGTTCGGACGTTCTTCACCTCATAAGTGTATGACAGGTCTCTCAGGTTACCATCCAGTTGGCCACGTTTCTCAGCCTGCGAGGGAGCCGCTTGGTGTTGTGGCTCATGGCCCGCCGCCTCATGTGCTTGGGCAGAGCCTGAAACATGTTGGCCGTCGTATTGGTGGCTGCTACCAGCATGGCCTTTACCTCTGCTGCTCTGGCCCTAGCAAAAGCTCCAGCTGGAAAAGGAGAAAGTGGAGGAAACTGACTTCTTCATTTCCCCAGTTAAAATACTTCTACAAGCAGCATTGTGTTTATTATTATTATTTCTGTTGCCTGAAGTATTAAACCCATTGAACACAAAAAAGGGCAAGAAAGAGTTTTCATTGATTTGTAGTAAACATGTTTACCAGTGATGTGGTTGGGCATCTCTGTGTCATAACCACCGCCATCTTTCTGATGTCCACGAACCCATCCGTGTCTGACGGGTAGGGTCTGCTCCCTCTTCCTGGAAGGATGCGAATCTGATTGATCACCTAATGGAGGAAAAAATATATACATATATATATATATACATATAACTACTAACTTTTTCATCAGGCCCAACAACCTAATAAAGAAGGTTTGTTCTGTTCTGGGGAACCAAATCTTGCTCCAGCCCAGGGCCCCACATCCTTGTTGGTTCGGCCCTGGTACCACTGACAACGTCGTCCGACTCCTGGCATACATAAATCTATCCCTCCGACTTAAATTGACTCCCAAAGCTTTAACTGTCCTCTGACAAGTGAACTGCTGCTCTGCAGAGATGAAGTCATGAAGACCAACAGTGAGTACCGGTGACGTGACGGCCATCCCCTCCTCCGCCGTTCTCTGCTCTCCTCTCCTCGGGAGGAGAAGATGGATACTGCACACTGGCAGGCTGGCTCTTCATCTTCTTCTCACGCCTTTTGGCTTTAGCTGCGGACATTTTCTGTAGGAAACCGAAAGGCACAGCTGAGCTCAGCACCCTAACACCACAGTGTTAGCTGACTAGCTCCATTACTTAAGACAAAGTTAGCATTTCTGTCTAAACTGAAATGTTTTGTCCTCCTCAATAAATACACGAGTTATCCATAATTGTAGTACCGTTACTTTAGGGCTTGTAAATGTCTGCTCCTGCTGTTAGCTACCATGTGAGTCTCCCTCACGCGCGTTGGCCTCCTTGTTTGCTTCCGCGTGTTTAGAGGAGGAGTTCTGGGAAATGTAGTGAATCAGCGCAACAAAAATTATACAGCCACGCTTTTCGTTCATTCAGTGTACACTCGCAGAAAAAAAGTCTGCTTCAATTGAATAGTTTTAATCAAATTTAAATGATCGATGCATGTAAACGCATTTGTGTGGGCAGCCATCAAACTTTCCGCGTTGTCGTTTTGCAATGCGCAGATACTATGTTGTTTACGGTACAGAAAGTGTGACGCTCTTCTCGTCAGCTGCTCGCCTCTTTTGAGCTGCATGTTTCACTCTGTTCGGTCATTGAATAGTTTAGGGAAAATGGCTGCACTGGTCAGGAGGATCATCACTACAGCTAAAGCCCCTGCTGCCATCGGCCCGTACAGGTGAGAGGAGTCTAAACCTGACAGCATCTACACAGCTGGTGCCTTATGAGCAACACAACACACTGACCATTACACTGTAATAGTGTAGTGAGTTGCACTGTGAATGTAAATAGACATGTTATTCCCCCTGTTCTTTTAAGGGAGAAAAGTGCACATTTTCACATTTTGCACTTATTACCTAAAGAGCTGTTCAAAAGTTGAGCTATTAACAAGTTCTGCTATTAATAGGTTTGTGCTTAAAATGTTTCCACTGTGTGCTTCTGTCTGATGTTGCTTAAAATGAATTATTTGAGACAGTTTTGCATGTTTTAAATAAGTTATCTTTTATTATTATTATTTTCCAAAAGGTGCAGGTTAGCTGGAACATCCATGATCATGTCCAGTGCTTTGCAGAAGCATCAATATGCCTTCAGGAATATATGGGCTTCACTGGCTTTTATCTGAATGCAAATACCCACCTCATATTTTAACATTACAATTATTTTGATTTCACAGCTGCATTCTAGAATAGAATGCATTGAACTTGAACAACTAAAATAAAAAACGAATTATTAAAGCAGAATTTGGATTTGATTGTTGCTCATGTCGTTTGTTTTTTTTGACCCCAAAAAACTGATTTGGGAGAAAGCTTACTGCAGGACAGACTCACCCTCATCCTTTTAAAGCATCCAGGAAACGCTTATTTGTCGTCTGTGTGTGATGCAGCCAAGCAGTGGTGGTTGATCGGACCGTGTTCGTATCAGGGCAGCTGGGGATGGATCCTGCCAATGGACAGCTGGTGGCAGGTGGAGTTCAGGCCCAGACCAGACAGGTGCCTGCCGCTTCTCATTCATCCATTCAATGCGCGGAATCATGACACTTAAAATGGATTGTCAAGCAATACTTGTGTCTTAAGGTCTTTATGAGCAACATCTGGTTAAGTCTTTAATTTGTCAATTTTCAGTTTTTGCCTCCCATAAAACTGTTAAGTGTTGAATCAATATTTGAAGTGCTGGGTGAACTGTGCTGGACTTTGTGCTGTGAACTTTGTTCCAGGCTCTAGTGAATTTGGGTGAAATTCTTAAAGCTGCTGGCTGTGGCTATGGGAACGGTGAGAGAAACTTTCGTTGAGTAGTTACATTTGTGTCTACCTTTGTTTGAGACCAGATTATAAATTTCACTTCTATTTTTTAAATTTTTTAAATTTTCTTTGCAGTTGTCAAAACCACCGTACTGTTAGCCAACATGAACGACTTTGTAAATGTTAATGATGTTTACAAGCAGTGTAAGTATATTAAGCAGACAGCAGAGTCTAGTCCAGCTCCTTGCAAAAGATTAGAAGTGTAAAACTCATTTCCAGTTCATAAAACGAATGACCACTAGGTGTCAGTATAACCCAAACAATGCATCGTTCAGGCAGATTTACTGTTTTTATCCCTTTTGGTTTGATCAAATCCTTGAAAACAAGAGAATAAATTTCCCACCAAGTATTCTAAATTAGCAAATTATGTTCCTAAGCAGGTAATATGTGTGAGAGAACTACTGTGAAGCAGTGTAGCCTTAAGAAAACACGAGCACACAGGCTGTTGAAGTGAACCGAGCCACTTAGCTGAGTGAAATCTGAGCTGCTTCTGTCAGTGGATTAAGCTTCATCTAAATACCGACCAACGTGTCTCTGCCCAAAGATGACAGTATTTAGATCTCATCGTCATGAAAAGAGGAAAATCACACATTGCAAAGGTATTTACACCACATGAGCATTTCCACACTTTGACACAAATGTCTTTGACATTCATTGGTATTGTTTGCTTTGGAATTCACAGAAATCAGGTGAAAGAAGATATCTGGTTATGTAAAAAGGCAAAAATGCAGATTTTTTTTTCTATATGCATCAAGGAAAATACTTTTGAAAGGCACAGTATCATTGCATAAAAATCAAAGTACTGGTTCTTGGAGAAAAATACTGAAAAGCATATTCGGCTCCCTCTTTAAATAAATCTTCCTTCTCTTTGATATAAAGTACTGGCAGTCCACTGTGGTGTGCTTAAAACACACTTTTTTATTAGTCCACGATAGAAAATTTGTCATTTTATTATGAAAACCAAATTAAAATCACAGTTGCTAGGATTTCATGGTGGTTTTTGTTTCTGTTTCATTTGGTGACACAAGCATCAAACCTATTGCGATCACATCTATGTGAGCCCTAACTGAGCTTCCCTCTGTAGTTTTCAGTACCAACTTCCCAGCCCGAGCCGCCTATCAGGTAGCAGCACTTCCCAGAGTGAGTACTTACTACAAACTATCACTGATTTGTGCTCATTCCAAACTAAGATTTGTCTGAAAGCCAACTGCGCTGCGTTTCTGCAGGGTGGACTGGTGGAGATTGAAGCAGTCGCCGTTTTGGGCCCTCTGAACGATACTTCTTAAAAAACACGTCGATGAAACAATAAAAGCAACACGGTAGCAGTTGCCGATGTTTTGCAATCCAGGAAAGAGCTGATCAAATAAACCCTATGTACGTCTGAGGACATCATAGGTTCTCAAGACACTGTGAATTAACATCCTCCTCAATGTTCTTGGTGGCAACATAAATTGAGTTCCCTTTATGATCTTCTTTGTTTGTTCCAGTGTTAACATATTGAATGTTTGTAGGAAGGTAGCCGGGTATCTTGCTGTCCTGCTATCGAGCTGTCTTCTGTTGTCTTCCCCATCTTGAAGAAAGGCAAAGAGAATCTGGTCTCCGAGTCACTCAACACCATGTTCCACTTAAAACAGGAGGGTGGGCTTTAAAAAAATCACTCACATTTATGCCTAAAGATTTGATTTGATTTGATTGGTGGGGATAAGGGAGAATTTTTGTGTGAATACAATTAAAACAATGGGCTTCCATACTAAAGGTTAGGTTCTCCTTAAATAGTCAGTGTGACTAATAGTTCAGGCGTTTCACACCAGAGGTTCCAGTGGATGTGCAGGGTGTTGTGTATTAGTCCAATAAAAGGCCAGTAAGTGATTTGTTCCTGTTTTCATGATGTCGCTGCCTGACAGTCCAGCATCACCCAAGCTTGAAGCACTTTCAGCTCATTAACATGGATGAGACGTCGTGTTTAGAAACAACACTGGATCTTCGGTTCCTACGGATCAACTTTCACTTACAATAGTTGTTAAGCATCTAACCTTGTCTGTGTGGCTCGAATTTCACCACCGCCCTCCGTTGTCACCCATTTTACTCTTGACATAATGTATGTCCTCATTCATTATTGACGTTCACATATGACTCAGAAATAAAGGCTCCTTCACTGTTCCGCGTCATGGACTTTATAGATATATATATTTACAATTACACATGTTTGTGGTCACGTTTGCTTGTGTTGTGTTCTTATTCTCCACCAGTGGATGTGTGTCGATGACCTCAGCTGATGACCCAGGTGTGTGGTTCACAATGAATAAGACAGCAGGTCCACAAAAAGTAAATTTTTATTATTATTAGATTTAAACATATCCTGTCCAGCAGTGTGTCATTCGGAGTTGTCTGAGTGCCAAGAAGACAGATTTAAGACAGGTTTGAAACAGGTTTAATTTCACAAGCAGCGCTTTATGTCTTTCACTCAACGGATACAGAGATGGGAAAAAAAGGAGGAAAGAAATGAGAAAAATGTTTAAAGGAAAAAGAGAAAGCTCATACAGCACCCTAGAAATCTGCTACTCCTGCAGAAAGGAAAAAAAGAGAACCAAGAAACCACAGCGACAAACAAAATATCCGTATGTAAAAACATCACAGAAAAAACGTTTATTTTTCCGTGTTTACACTAATGCATATTACCTTTGTCTGGATCTTGGAAATCTTCATAATTGGTTAATCAAAATTTGAGTCAAACCTAAGAGTAATAAAGTGTTATTCCATTACTTTATCAAATCGTAAAGATTTTTGTCTTTCTGACTGCTTGTTTAGTCCACACAGAGTATTAGTTGTCTATAAATTTTAGAGCAACAGAACAAGAACTCTTTTACTCAAGGTTTTAAGAACAAATTTCTAGACATCAAATACATTTTAAACTTCAGAAGAACAAAGAAATCACAGGAAGTCTCTTCATTGGCCTCTCCCACAGAAGCACAGCCACCTCATATTTCACCAAAGGTCTGCCTAGAGTACGCATCAAGAACAAGCTGCAAACCGAGGCTGCAAGATCAGATTGACGTCATCTTGTTCTTACAGCAGTGGGACAAAGATCAGATTTCTTTGTTCTTGAGGAGTTTGCACTGGAGGTGGGTCAAAACTTCCATTTTTGGTCACATCTAAACCTGGACAACTCCTTCCTGTTTCCTCAGAGTTAACCTGAAGCTTCCCACTGTTTCTCTGATCAATGCTCTCCATGCTCGCTGTGCCAGTTTCGGTAGATGGACGCCACTTGGTAGGTTTGCAGCTGTGCAATGTTCTTCCTGTTTTCGAATGTTGGGTAAATGGCACGCTACAAGTGATGATGGAATATTAAAGCCATACTAATAACATAAAAAATAAAATAAATTTACGAGAATAATGCCAAAATAATATGAGAAACAATTCCTAATACCACAAGGATAAAGTTGCATTATTGTGAGGATAAAGTCATAATATTTTAACTTCTGTTCTGGTAATATTCTGACTGAATTTTGGTAAGAATCTGACTTTATCCTCATTCTATTTCCGTTTTTGATCTGTTCATATTCCGACTTTATTTTCATATTATTTCCACTTTATTTTGGTAACATAAATTTATTCTTGACTTTATTGTTCATGTCTTTATTCTTATGTGTTTTTCTTTCAATATTGTGACTAAATTCTGCAAATATGACTTTATTTTCGCAGATTTTTTTTTCATTGTTTCTAAGTAAGACCCTAATTCTTTGTTGTATTTTACTTTTACTTTACTATTTCTTATTTTTTTACTATTTTGCCACTACATTTTACTAATATTGATCTAATTTACAGTAAAAAACCTGTAAATAAAATACTTTTTTCAGTGTAGTATTTTACTAACTCAGTGACTCCTGAAAGCTGCATCTGATTACACCATTTTTTTTAACTTTGATTAGTTATCCCCATCCCCTTTCTCTCCCCCTAAAGTCGTAGTGTTTCCTTTCCGCTTCACTATCCTGCTACACAGAATCCCCATGAATACACATTGTAACATAGCAAAGTTTTAAAAAGTTCTGCAACGCACTGTAACATTGCCTCTGCTTCTCACGGTGCTGCGTACTTACAGCTGCAGCATCTGCTGCTGAAAATACAGATCCAACTCCAGCAATAAAAAGCACGCACTTTAGTAAGGGAAACTTTATTCTGTACACTAACCAGTTAGCAGAATCCTAGACCAAAAACAAAAACAGTAAGTGGCCGATTCCAAGGAAAGAAATGAAACAACAACCAAACAGAAATGTATTCCCATTATTTGCAATAAACAAAAGAAAGTAGAAAGCTCCATAGAACGCTGTGGTTTCTAACTGCGCTACAGAAGCAGGTGAGTCACTCTTACTGAAAAATACAAGAGTATGACGTCAGCGTCCCACAGCAGTACCTTCAAATGTCTGCTGAAAAGACTTTTACTGCCAAGCAACAGGCAACAGCCACACTGCAGCTGAACGGGGCGACTAGAATAACACAACCTGTCAGCAGTCGCTCGTCTTCATCCTCAACCTGCAGATGAAGAAAGTTCTCTTTCCATGTGAGCTGTGCACAGTGTTGTTTAGAACATGCCGTTACTATTAATCAAACTTGCTACGTGTAAACATGTTTCGTGATTTATTTCCACCAAGGTCTCAAAGTCCGGTGCGCAAAAACAGAATCTCCAAGGATTTGTTTTGTTAGTGTTGAGGCGAAGCGTGAGCCAGTTCCTGGTACCAACATTACATGGTGTCATTTGTTTCAGAGTGACCCAGTTTTTCTCTGTCGAGGAGAAACATAGCAATAACCCCCTCTCTTGTTCTTATTCCTGCTCACTGCAGGTCAGCTGGCTCCAAGAATTTCCAGACAGTCCTATCAGAGTCAGTAGGTGTGTTAATCAGCCAAACCAGAATAACTAACCAGATAACATCAACTCATGTTAATCTGCAAAGAGCAAAAGATGGAGTACAATGTGAAAATTGTTAATATAGCTGCAGGAATAAACTGCATTTCTGTTAAAAATCCAAGCAATTAGATTATGTACATTTTTGCTTAGCATCTTGTGCAAGTAGCATGATACCAGCTGTGTTTCCATTAACCTTAAAATTGCGCAATGAATACATTTGCTTAATGGGAAAGCCGATTTTGAAAAACATCGATCAAAAGTATTGCATTTTGCAAAACTGCGAAGGAAGCACTTTTTCCTTTTTTTGCAACACACAAATGATCAACAACCAGATGTTGCTACTGGCGGAGCGTTTGTTTTTAATGACTTTATAGTGTGAACAACCTCATTCATATTTGATGTTAATTGTGTTTTTCATTTCATAAAACCACCACGATGGCGAAATAGTGTTTTTTGGTGTTTTTTTTTACATTAACAGAATATTGACAAACATTTTGCGCTCGTCTCTAATGGAAACGCAGCCGCTGTCAAAGACGGTTCTGTTCCTCCGCATCTTTGAGCTTTGTGCATTTGTTTTTTATTCACAGTGAAATTTGGCTTGTGTCCCTTAGAAAACTGTAAGGAAGGATGTGCTGCCAGCATCCTTCATACTTTTTAAATACTTTCAGCCCACAGTTGCCTACCTCATTACCAAGAGATACCATGTAGTATTGCACCCTCACACACCTCACCGCCTAAGTGTTTTGCATATTTTAATGTCTGAGAAAACGTGTGGCTCCAGGCACTTTGTGGTCCGAGTAGAAAAACGTATCCTCTCCCCTGCGGTAAATGTTTAAGTACAAACAAGAAGGAAATCCTCATTTATCCTGAATGAAAACTTATTAAGGCAGATTCAATGATCATAAATGTATTGTGCAGTTTGGTGTTGATGAGAAAAAAATAGAAGTTAGACTTTTTTTGGAGTGTGGGTTTTCTTCAGGGTGTTTTCCTCCCCTGGTCTTCACGTGTCACTTTGTGGCTTCATCACTTGGTGAATCTCTGATCTGTGAAAGAAACAGAATCGGAGTCAAATAGTACAACATTTAGAGTTAATTTGCACCATGATGCTTCATATTTACTCTCAATTCAAGCAATAAATTTACACTCAACAAAATGCTTGTATGCTTTCAGGGACAGAATAAAGAACAACCATGAGATCATAGTGCAGTAATCTATAGATGTCCTACTGCATTTAAATGCATTTACAAGAGTCAGACGGTTTTATCCTGCAGTTTGTTCTAGACAAAAAAAACAAAAACAAACAAAAAACAATGTATTTCATGCCTTGGTTCTTACCATATTAATCCTCCTTTTTGGCTATTTCATCGTCGATATCCTTAGAGGCCTCATTTACAGATGACACTGCACACACACACACGCACAAAGAGACACACACAGGAATGTCATTATCATACCAGTGGCTCAGAGCTTATTTGACATGATTTTATCATCACCATGTTACACACAGCCGCCGCTGGTGAACTGACGAACTAATAGTTATTCATATCTACATCTGGGCCTCCTTAACTGCACCACTGCTGATTTATTCTGACACACACGCACACACACGCAGAGCACCCAGATAAAGTCTTGTAAAAGAATTGTATTACATGCTTCCTTCCATTCCTCTTTGAGTTTTTCACAATGCTGCAGATTGTTGACCTCCTAAAAGTAATTTTTTTTATTTCTGCGTCCAAGCTGTCAGAATAATGAGACATTTCTTTTCAAAGATTGTTTCATCTTGCTTTAAACTAAGAAGTATATTTACATAGTATTCAGTGGAGTTGCTAGCTTCCAAACCAAGCTTACACTTGACAGAGCACTCCTCCCACCTTAACTCTGAGCTCCTTCAGACTAGCCAGCAGCAATTAGCAAACGCCTGGTGGAGCTAAACATTTACTAAGCTCATTACATGAGCCACTTCTCAGTGCAGTGTTCCTAAAAATAATCCTAAATGCTTGATGGAGGAACCTTGTTGTGATGACTTCCTGAAGGTGGAGTCTAAGAAACAGCAGGAGCTTCTTAAAGAGACAGAGTCAAATTGTGAAGTCAAATTTCTATTAAGATATGTTTGATTTGTATAATAATTGAAGGTAAATTTGGTGTTTGTTTGTGTTATAAAATAGCATTCTGTCTGAAAAATACATAATACTGCCCCTCTGAGAAATATATATATTTTTAAACGACTCATTGTTTCGGCTTTAAAACAGCTTTAAACCAGATCTCATCTTAATGGAGTTTTCCACCGAACCTCAGCGAAGGCCACAGACAATTCTGTGTTTAATTGGAAGCGGCGGGCCATGACAAGTCTGCTGGCGACTCACAATGAGAGACAATGAGAGAGGACTGTCTGACTGCAGCTGTTGTGCTGACAACATGTTCATAATGCAACATCAACACGCAGAAGAGAAGCATTCATGTCTCTGCTCATGTCACTTCTTCGACATTAAGGTCCAACAATATCCCATTCAGCCCTCTCAGCGCATGCAGCTGAATGGCTCACTAACATCTCACGGCTGCATGTGAAGGATTCATGCAAAGCTACTCCAGGCTCCGGCTTCACCTTCATCACTGAAATGATTGAAGCGACTGGCCACATGAAGGAACATTCAGTGCTTCTCTGCATGTCAGCAAGATTTCATCCACTCCAGCGAGTCTACCTAACCTCACTTGTTGCTCCACCTCCAAACTGTTTCTGGGTGTTTGCACACGCGTGGAGCCAAACACCCGCTCGCATTGATTCCTGTCACATTCCATTCCAGTCGTAGTCTTCCTACAAATGACCTCCGCCTGAAAACTGTCTTCTGAATCAGCGTGACTCCCTGAGGAGTCTGTCAGCGTGACAGTTTTGTCGACATGGTGAGCGTGTGTGTGCATGTGTGTGAGGACATGCGCGCTCACAGGCGCGTGTGTGTGAGAGGAAAATAAAACTGCCAGACGCTGGAAAACAGAGGCATCCATCATGAACTTGAAGGGGTCAGTATTGTGTTTTACAGGCACATAGTCCCACTTTATATCACAATAACATTACATTCAGTTGTTATAAAATGCTGTATATATATCAAATATGTCTTGAAAGAAATTTGACTTAGTCATTTAATGCCTTAAAATTGGAACTCTGTCTTTTTAATAACTCCGTCTTCAGGAAGTCATCACAGCATGGCTCCTCTGGACTTAGACTTATTTTAGTGTCGTTGCACAAAGACACGTAAGTGTCTATTAACCTTTTAACAAAGTTTTTTACCAGGATTGCTTTGAGAAGTAGCTCTTATAATGAACTCAGCTGATGCACAGTTCTGCCAGGTGTTTGCTAGTTGCTGCTGGCTAGTCTGAAGGAACTCCAAGGAAGAGTTTCATCCTCGAAGGTGGGGCAAGATGGCGCAAACCACAAAAAAGAGGACAACAAAGTAGTTAGAGAATGAAGGCGCGGCATGAGTTGGAATGACTTATTGCCTGAATGAACTTATTCATGTGTGATTTTTACAAAAATTGTGTTTTTCCGACATTAGTGGAATATTGACAAAGTTTTGTGCACATTTGTAATAGAAACACAGCTTGTGTCTATTAGGTGTTGGTATGTCATACCCTCTGGTGGCGTTTCAGGAACCGGCTCAGTTGCAGGTTCTGGACCTGCAGGGGCTTCAGTTTGCGTCCCGTCAGGAACTTCGGCTGGGACTGCAGTCTCCGTACTGGACTCTGGATTCACCACGACTGGTGGAGCCTCAACTGGCTCCGGGTCTGAAACCTCTACAGGACCGGACGCCTCCTCTGGTGAGGCAGCAACATCAGAGGAGACCGTGGAAACCTCCGTCTCCTCATCGGTGGCAGAGTGACGCTCAGCCTGAGCAGCAGCTGCTGCAGGAGTTACCGGAGGCATCTCTGGAATACTCACTGCAGCAATAGTTGTGTCTATTACAGCATTTTCAGGCCTTGAGGGTTCGGTTGGTGTTGCATCTTCGTCGGCTACTGAATCTGTAGTTGGTCTTGAAGCTTCAGCTGCTGCTGGAGTCTCTGAATCAGTTTCCGGTGAGGTACTGCCGGGTGGGGTTTCGTCCTGGACAGGGTTAGCATCTTCAGTTGCTGCTTTGGAGGCTTCTTCAGCGATTTCCTCTTCCGGAACGCCAGTGGTCCCTGCTGGCTCCTCTAGAACCAATACTGGAATTTCTTCCTTGACAAGTACAGGGACCTCTGTCTGCTCAGCTTCAACAGGTTGAACTTCAGGGGTCTTCTCCAGGGTCTCAACTGCTTTGACTTCAGAAGGGGCTTCTACTGATATAGTTTCTACAGGAAGTGTTTCCTCCACTGGGGCCAATACCTCAGTTACTGTGATGGCAACTTCTTCTTGTACTGGAGGTTGTGGTGCCAGCTCCTCACCAGCTGCAGGGGGCTCAGGAACTACTAGGATATCTTCCCCAGACCAGAGATCCTCCTTGGCCTCCACGGCCTCCAGCACGGCCTCGTCTTCAGGTCCTTCTTTAGCATCGTCTGGTGAGGCGGTCTGCACAGGCAGCAGCATCTGATCCTCAATGGTCCGCACATCTTCTGCAATGATACCGTTTCTGACTGCGATAAAGACAAAAGAGGATGGAAAATAAAAGATTAGCAACTTGCATCTAAACCACCAGTTGTCTGCAACTCTGACATAACAATGACAAAAGTCAGGGAATAAAAGAATGAACCACATTCTTCTCCTTGTAAGATTTACTGCCTTTGAAGGCAGAACCTTTGACAAAACTCCTGTTGTCAGTGATATTATAAAACTCCCAGATAAATTCTCAGACTTTGAATCAGTCACATTTGTGTCAGGGGCCGGGGGGGCGCTCGTTTGCAAAAGGATGAGTTATAGTGAACTGAATGCACATTTTGGACAAATGATGACACTAAGACTAAAACTGGGACAATGATCTCATTGGTGAAAATCCCAGCTGTCCTGTCAACCTGTTTTATACATATAAAATTATATTTGTGAATCAACTATAAGGTGAACAAATATCTTAACTTTATCATTTTGTCTGGTGTGCTTCAGTTTCTTTCGGTACATGGGATTTGAGAAAATTAGACATATTTGAGGGAAATTATTTAAAGCTTCAGTGAACACAGGATGCAGGAGACAGAAAAAACAATAAAGGACACAAACGGCATCCTTTCATTTCCTTACTTGAAAATAGGATTTACTGAAGCCCTGAGGACGAGAATTCTGAGGAAATGATCCTCTCCGCTTTTTACAGTCAGTTAGGTTAGCGCACACGCAAACACAGTGCACTTGTGTATGGAAGTAATGAAGTCATATTTCAGGAAAATCCTCAGTTGTGTCAACAGTCAGAATCCCAATGTAGCGATGGAAGCTTTTGATTGGTCGCAGTCAGTGTGGACGTCGGCCACAGACGAGCTGGACCGGAGCGGCTCGGTTGGCTGTACGGGTGGATGGCTCTGATGCTTCAGCTTTCTGATTTTATTTGTCTGTCGGAAGCAGTAAGCAGAGATCGGAGTGATGGGTGGAAGGGAATGTGTGGGCCTGGCAGACTGTGTGAAAATGAGCCAGTGGGAAAATTACAGTAATTAAACAACACGAATCCCTTTGCTCTTTCTTTTCACAGTTAATCTTTGCATGCACTCTGCGATCATTAGCTGCGTTTCCTTTATGAGTGTGTGACTTCCTGTCATCTTCTTTGTAGTTTGAGCAGCAGTCCAGAGTTGAGGGTTAGGGCACTTACTGTTTATCATTTGACATTGATTAAAAAACCTTTTAGAATTTTGATTTTTGTCATGAGAAATTTTATTAACTGATGTTAAAGAAAACTGACAGTATGATCAGAAATGTTTTTTGTTGTTCAATTTTCTCCACGTTTTGTTCCATGAGAGCACCAATAAATGTATGTCAATTCAAAAATAGGATTGAATGCAGTTTAGTGACAGAACTCAAGTTGTGAAGAAGCATATTCCAGATCAAAATGCCTCTCAAGAATATTTGTGTTTGTGGCGCGATGAATGCTGTGACATGCTGGACTACCTAAAGAATAAGTAATGCATAGCTTTTTTCATTGTAATTTTGATCATTATCGCAATAGTACGTCAAAATATTGCAATAAAATTGTAAATCCATACTGCCTAGTCGGTGTTCAGTTGAAAAGCGACTGTTTAAGTTGAGGTTGACACCTCCATGCCAGGCATCGATGAATCATGTGTCAACAGGATTTGGCAGCCAAAGATGACACGGATCTCAGTCAAAACAGAGCCATGGCTGGCCTGCAGCGGAGGGAAGAGAGGGGAGGACGAGGTGGGACACAAATCAGGGGCCCGGACCAGGGATGGGACCGGCACAGGCCAGGATGTCACCCAGCCGGTGTGCCAGACAGGCGGCACGCTGTAGGAATAAAAACCTCCCCTCATTCGGCCGCATTTAACATAGCCTGGCCGGGCTGAGCATACAATTACTGATGGTCTCAGTGGTGGTGACGCAAGAGTCTAGAAGGGAACCAGAGTTTCTCTCTCAGTAGGTGTAAAAAGCTGTCTGACAGGAACAACAACACAGTAACATGAACACAGAAACAATGAGTCCGTTTCAGATTGAAAAATATACAGTTTTTCCTTTCCCCAGATATCTGAAGTAACTTTTGTTCCACACAGAGTTAGCGCGGTAGTGTTCTGCTGCTCATGTGCAAACCAGGATGGGAGACACAGAGTGCATGGAGCGGTGCCTGGCCTGGCACGTCCATGTGGCAGTGAATCGTCTGGAACAATGACGAGACAGTAATAGATTGTGTCAGACCTTCTGCTGGGTGTCTGCTCAGGCCTGCACACAGAGGTCACACATGTTGAGAGATACAGACAGAACACAGGAGGCTGAGCAGCTGAGCTTCCATTCACCACAGAACTGCAGGAATTTTAATTACGAAAACAAACTCACTTTATGGAAACACGGCGGTTTCAAAGTTACTCAGATTTTTGGAAAAGAACGTTGTTGCGTTAGAATGAGGTGGAGTGTTTGGTGGTTTCAAGTGGTAACTCTGGGGGAGGTGCAGACATTTCCAGCTCAGGTGGCAGAATTAGGAGAATATGAATAATGTGCGCCACAAATCTGACCTTTTTAGTAGTAGTGTGTCATGTCATGAACAGGAACAGAAAATCTGCTCAGTTATTGAATATTCAATAGTCATATTCATGTGTCTGAGTGGTCCAGTCAAAGTACACTCAAACTCAACTAAGCATCCGTGGCAAAACTTGAATGTTGCTGTTCAGAGATTCTCACCGTCAAATCTGACTGAGGTACGTCTGATTTGTAAAGCAGGATGCGCAAAAATGTCCCTCTTCAGATGCCATAGAGTCAAACCCACAGGAGACTTTGGTGGATTTGCAACAAAAGTTTATTCTAGTACAAAGTACTGACACGTGGGGGGGTCAGAATACTAACACACACCGCACTTCCAGATTATTGTTCTCCAAAACTAAATAAAACAATCATTACTTTTCTTCTAACTCAATGGATTATGTTCTATCCAAAGTCCCAAATGAAGCATCTGTTTTTTCTGGTTGTAGAAGACAAAATGTAAGAAAGTTTATGGTCTATAAATATCTTTTTTCTTTTTTCTTTTTGTATTGTAAATATGTCCTTTTGAAAGTTTTGCACTCCAGAACAATCCAACATCCGTGAATCACTACAGAAAACTGGTAACAAACAGGTTAGATTGGAAATGTTGCCGCCGGCAGCAGATAGATTTCTAAACACTCCCAGCTGCTCCCATGCAAAGTCATTGTCCAACATAAAATGCTCAGTTTGCTTTATGGGAAGAGACTGAGAGAAGTTGACATGTCCATAGAGTTAAAAAAAAAAAAAAAACTCCTCTCAGGTCTCATTTCATCAATAAATCATCGGGTGTTTTTAGCAGTCCTCTTCTTAGCAGTAGCCACGCAGGACAGGGGAGGATTAGGACAAACAAGCAGTAATGATTTGTAGGGTTTAAAGAGAACAACAGAAATATTTTTACACCTGAAGTATTTGATCCGTGCAGAGAGTGAGAGCACGGAGTGTACCAGCCAGCTGCAAACAGCCTCTGGCAAAATGTGACTTAGTGGCAGAAGGAGAATTAGACAAGCAGCTGCACTCTGACAGAACATACGCTGGTCTCGACACTTCAAAACGCACGGATGAAGGGCAACTTGCACTTTTAATACTCACTCAAATGGCCTTCACTCACCCACTGTGTCTCCGTTGCTCTCCTCAGGCTTTGTGCCTGGCCTCTTCTCCTGCTCCACTGTCTGCGCGCTGGATGATGAGCAGCCCATGCTTGGAGGCAAAATATTGCAAATCTAGAAAGCTGGAGGCTGCTTCAGGAACAAGCGACCACACGTTTTAGTGCTTCCTGCTTAATTTCTTTTTTAGAGGTCGATGCTGTCTTTCTGTGCGAACAGGAGCATCTAAACTCTCCACAAGATCTCAAAGCGGATGGGAACCATTCTCTCCTCTATGGTGTGAGATCACTCATGCTCCGCTGTGCTTTTACAATCTGCTCCGTGCATGCAGCAAAGCAGTTCAGGCTGCAACGCTGAGTGTTCCCCTAACTACCTCCAGCTCTAATGTAGAACTATCCATGCAGCAGCAGCAGGAGGAGGAGGAGGAAACAAACACTTGTGAGGTCAGTGTCCTCCCCTCTGAGGCCTGTGTGGCACAGATCCTCCCCCTGGTGGTGAAGTGTCAAACTGCACATGCAACAAACATCAAAGTAGAAAGTTGAATTTTATAAGTGGATCAGTGGATTAACATTGAATTCAGTTCATTTCATTTGTATGGCGTCATTCCATGACAAGTATCATCTCCACAGACACTGGAGAGAAAAAAAAAACCTTTAAAGAGGCAGGATTGTGTATTTTCCAGGCACATAGTACCATTTTGTAGCACAGTCGAGTTACTGTGTTGACGTCACTTATTATGAAAATACTCTACATATCAAATATGATTTAAAATAAATTTTACTTTGTAATTTAACACCTTGAAATTTGGCCTCTGTCTCTTTAAAATCTCCTGATCTTTCTGATATTCCACCTTCATGAAGTCATCACAACATGGCTTCTCTATTAACTCTTTGATATTTTTACAAGCATTTCACTGGTAAACGCTGAGTAAAAACAGAAAATCTTCTATCACGAGCTCAGCAGTTCCACCGGTGTTTGCTAATTGCTGCTGACTAGTCTGAAGGAGCTGAGTGGGGGAGAACTGCTCTGTGACATGGAAGCAGAGCAAACACAGCTGAATGGCTGATGTGGGAGATTCAAATCATGATTCAGACAAGCATGAAATAGTCAGCACGCCAGGTTTGTTTTTAACCAGGTAATAACATTATAACAAGATGTAACGGTCAAAAAAGTTGATTTTTACATAATGTGCTACCCCCTTAACAGGAAGAAATTTCCAGCACAACTAAAGCTGGGTCAGTTCGAGCGGCTGGAGGCTTAAGACACGAAAACAAACAGAGGAGCTGATGTAGGAGGATTGCTTTCTGTGTTAATGATGAGTAAAATACCAAAAGATGCTCCCAGCTGCATACATGTTCTGCTGTAGCTTCCATAAAAATAAAGTAACTGAGAGAAAACATAAAGTTCACAGTTGAAATAACAACAAATAATGCAAATTAGAAGAAGAGAGTGAGGCCAGGATAGGCAGGTACAGCCAACAGATGGATGGATCAAAGAAAATCAAGGCACAGAAAATCTGATATTTAAATGTTTATTCATTGGTATGCTGTACAATCTTCAATAAAATAGTCAACTTTCTTCACAAATAAAGTGTCTAAAGTGGGAGAGCACTTCAGTTGAAAAACCATGACTTCCTGGATTTCTGCCCAGGGCGGCATGGAGCAGGGGGGCAACACGAGGGAGGAACAAATGTAGTCATGTGTTATGTTCTGATCTTGATGTCTGATTTGAGGATTTTGTTTTTCTGCTAAAATAAGGAGCTACATAAATATGTTTCTGGACTTTGGACAACTTTTAAACATCTCCAATCCATTGATGGAATGGACTGGTCAAATTTCTTAAACAAATTGCATGAAAATATCATTTTATTTGTGAAACCACACATAAAGAGAATTTTCGATTCTTTCCTGGATTTGGACCGCCTTAGTGTGTTTGGATTGAGATTGAACTGATGACCAGCATAATGATGGCTGAAAAAATCCCATAAAAATTCCAGACACTTCTTAGTCAATGTCATCAGGGTATATTGAACACCAAATTAATGCTGTTTTCATCCAGTGTAATATTAACCAGACCTCAAAATGGGAGATGCTTTTGGGGTGGGGGGGTTATATCTTGTGCAGATTTAGACTAATTAATAAAGTAGAATCAATGACTAGATTATGTATTTATTATGTGTCTGAATTGAAATATCTCATGTTAAGTTTCTATAGTTAATTTAGCTTCCTGTGCATCTGATAAAATTTAGATTTTAAATCATCTTTGCAGCAAAAGGGCAGCCCTTAGAAGGACCAAAACTTTATATATTTATCTAAATATATAAACCTCCATCTATTGCAGCGTTGCATCTTACAAGGCTTGTTTCATAAGAAGATAAGGTTTCTATTAGAGCTAATGTATGACCCACAAATACAGACATGCTGAGATATAGGATGTAAAACAGGACCACCTAATGGAAAAACGTCACATCGTGCTGTGAGACAATGAACAGCATCAACAGTTGAGGACGATCCCATCAGAACCAGGCAGCACCAGAATTTCATTTGTTCACCACTTGGTTCTCCAGAGTCTCCAGCTTCTTTGACATCGCTTCAAGTACTCGTGTTAAAGAGGCTAACAAGAAATACATCCAATGTTGGAAAACAAATAAAGATATGACAGATACTGCTATTCAAAAAGGTTCCCCAAAAAGAGCCTCTTTGTAAATCATACTTTTTCTAGCATCCATTAACTGGACATATGTTGGGAAACACCTTATGAATACAGCACTGAATAACAAATGCTCTTTTAAAAGCTTTCTCGAGGATTTTTATGTAAAGATACATAAAGAACAAGACAGTGAATATAATCAAATGTGTCAAATATGAAGTGAAATTAAAATGGTCTTGCTGTTTCTGCAGCCTCGTCTCGTCCCTGCTGAGGATATGTCTGTCTCGTCCTCGGCTTCAACCTCCAGACGGTTTATTTCTGGAAAGCTATCTAGGTCTGAAGAGGTAAACAAACAGGTATGGAAGAATAATAATTCTCGTGGCGGAAGCAATATTCTCCCTCTGTGAGGCTAGAGGACAAGAGAGACTGTAGCAGATTGTTTTTATGAACTGGGTCATCTTTATTTTAAAACCAGAACCGTGTTGTAGTGGGACCAGCTAGTTTAGCTTACAGACTGAGTCTGATTGGGTGAAGGCTGTGAGATGTTGGTTTTGGACATGACATCATTCTCATGTGTGGGCATCCTTGTAAGATGGCCCACACCTATAATTTTGCTAATGTAATAATAACAAGTTATGTGCCAGATCAGTATAGCTAAATATAGAAACAATTTGCCGATTAAAAAATTACAAAAATAAGCATAACTCTTAGATGTGCACTGAAGATAAAGTGCACAAATACCACTGAGACCCCATTTTAAAACATCTGCAGTTTATTTATTTAATTTTTCTTTTTCACCTCATCAGCTTTGTCGTTTTACCATAAATCCTGTTATTATCGCTGTGCAGCAACCCAGCAAAAACAAAAAAAGGATATTACTCTGAGCCAGGTTCTTCAGTTTCTCTGTCACTTGGTTCTGAAACATGATCACGCTCTCACACCGACACAAGCTTTCATCTGCCGGTTTGTCTGTAGGGGCAAAATTGAACATGGTTAGCACTTGTTTTTGACTTTTCGTTTACAACACGGGGCCGTGAGGGGAAACGCCCGGTCCTGCTCCGGTCAGGAACCGGTTCTGAGTGCCGCTTGTTCCACAGGCACCAGGTGAGAGTGACGCTCAGCTGACATAAAAGAACGTTGTTACTGTAACTGGCCTTTTTTTATATACAAAATGCCAGAGTGGAAATAGTGGAAACTCTAAATTTCCGGATATAACACAAAAAGAAGGGTTTCTTTTCCTCTTGATCTCATTCTGTTCCAATTTATTTTTTTTAGAAAAATTATACTTTTTTTATGCTGCAGAAACAGAAAATCTTGCAAACTATTTTTGATCTGGTTTCTACTACAAACATTTCAGTACACTTGAAGTAAGACAAAACTAACAAGTAACTTTTCAGAAAGAAAAAGAAGCTTGTTTTAATGAACTAATTTCTTAATATTGACTAAAAAATGCAATTCAATTGTTAGATTATTTCACCGATAACATGGAAAAAAACATCTTGTTATACTTAATCAAACAACTTTATTTATACAATTTATACTTCCAAGTTTTACATCTGGGGATGAAATATCAGCATCCATGCAGATATTTTCACAAAGTTAAATAACCTGCCAGTGTAACCATCACTTTTATATCAACGTTAGGGAATTATTGACTTAAAACAATCTTAGTTCTTGCTGAAAAAGTTACCCTTTTGTCTCATTTTAAGCACATTAAATGAAATATTTGCACTAAAAGAAATGAGACCAAACACACTTGGGGAGATTGCAGTAAAATCAGTTCATACTAAGTGATCACCTTTACACATCCTTGACTTCAGTTTCTTTGTAATTTCTCCCATTTTCTCAAAGTCCTCCGCGTAATAGAGATGCATCTCAGGAGGCTCTGAAGCGATTTCCCTCAGCTCCTGTTCAATGGCCTTCCCAACGCCCAGCGCGTATATCGTCACCCCTGAGAGAAGCAGAAAACAGAGCGAAGGCCCCAGTTCAGTATCAGACAGATCACGCCTTCGTTAGAAAGTCTGAATAAAGACAAAGTCCCTCATATCACCCGAGGTCTTTGCTCTGCTGGCCCACTCGGAAACATCATCCTGCGACCTTCCGTCGGTGAACACCACGCAAACGCGGGACGTTCAGCCTGGCGCCTTCCTTCTCCGAAAAGCTGAACTGGAACATGTGGCGCAGCGCCGAGCCGGTCATGGAGCCCCTCCCCATGTACCGCATCTGGCTCAGCCCGCTTGACGTCCCGCGCTGCGGCGTGCTGGCCCAGAGAGAACTCTGTGCGCACCTTGGTGGAGAACTGGATGAGTCCGACGCGCGTGGCCATCCTGGAGACTTCCAGCGAGTCCACGATGCTGTTGACGAACTGCTTGACCAGTTCAAAGTTGGCGGGGCCCAAACTCTTGGAGCCATCGATCACAAACACCAAATCCATGACTCCGTCGTGACAGCCTGGTCCTGTCAGGCGCAAATACATGAAAAACGTCTTGATGTAGATTTTGTTTGTTTGTTTGTTTTAACATGAGTTGCATCTAAGAATAAAAAAACAAAAGATGCTAAGACTTTACTTTCACATCTTTTCCCATCGTCAGCCAGCAGGAATCCCTCATTACAATTACAGATGTAGGAGTCAGTGGTGCTGACACACAGATGTTCGCAGCCGTGGTCCAGAGATTGACACAGATCAACACCTGGAGGTTTAACATGTGTTACTGATGCTGCTGC